ATACATGTGCATAACAGCTGGCTCGCTGCTGGCTACACACACACACGAACACACACACGAACACACACACGAACACACACACGAACACACACACGAACACACACACGAGAGCGATTACATTACCTCACTGCAACTCCGTTGTGCGGAGGTAAAAAAGTCTCACGTACAAAGATACTCGGTCAGAAGTTTCAGACAAAAGTCATTATTTATTAAACACGTATTCACGATTCTCTCGCACAAAAGCATGCAGCTGTTAGTTCAAATTTCAAATTCAAATTAAAGTTGAACTAATCAACATTCCAGGCAGTGAACCAATCACATTCAAGGACGAATTCAAGGGCAGCACGTCCGTGACTCTCACAGCGCGGCTCAGCGGCGGCAGTGGCGACCTCGCGTGGCAGCACACGCAACTATTCCGACAATCGTTTGAAGACACGAACAATGCGGCGTTAGACATACGAGTCACGTTTCAGTGAGAAGACATGCAAAACAGAATTCTCTGGTCCTTGTTTTTACCAAGATTTCACCGTAGTAGAATGGATTAGCTTAACGGAAAATGTAACCTAATTAATGTTGGTAATATAGATTCACCATTCGTTAATATCAAACAAGTGGCCATACAACATTTTCGACACATGGCTATAGAACGACTTCATATAATACAACCCAGCAGACGAAGTAAACGCCAAGTGGAGGGCTACTTAAATATACTAACCACATAGCATTATTTATCCAACTGTTTTGTGAAATATATGTAATAAACAATAAAGTCACTTTAATTATTATGATCTACTTTGCTAATTACATCAGTTTTTCTTTCATTACCAGCTTCGTTCATTCTATGAGATGACAAGTACATGTAGCTCACGTATATATCGACTTGCAGCTATAATATCAATAGCGCAATTTATCACATTTTTGTGAACATACACATGGCAGTTCAACATTACTTCATTTTCAAACAGACAAGTAATGAACTGTTTCGATATTACTTTCTATTTACAATACCGGTCTGTAAATATCTGCAAAATAGGGATGGAACAGTCTGACCATGTTGGCTTACAACCATGAGCCAACCATTTACAAGGTAGTGCGAACAAGCTCACAGACCAAACTGATTTCCCGAGAAATAATGAAATCGTAAAACATTTAAAAAATAAAACTTGAATTTACTATACTTACGCAAAACATGAGCATTGTTATATAGACTACAACGTGTTTGACTTAGTTGTGGGAGTGCCTACAATGAACATGGTGCAAACACTCACTTATAAAGCTATGGGTTGACACGTGGGGACGACACCTGCATTTCTTTGAGGCAATAATGTGTTGTTACTCGAAGAAATGCATAATATAAGCAAGCATTCATAACGCGCAGAAAGCAATTTTCCCCCTGGTCGGAAGTTTTCTGCAAAAATCTCACAAAAAAGTCCAGCAACAAAGCACCTCTAGATTCGAGCAGAAAACATTCTAGAGCCATCGGCGATCTATATACACTTTTAGCAGATAACGTAAATACAATCCGTTTCAATACATAATTTTTTATCACTGGATGACACACCTGCCATGAGTATTACGGGAACACGAGAACGGATACACCAAAGTGCTTCTCTAGTAGGTAGGGTGCGTACGCATACTACTCTCACTGGTATAGATGCACACCCCAGCTCTATATCTAGTATACGTGCATCCTAGCATGCTCTAGTGGTGTGCTGGATCACAGTGCCTTCTAGTGGTGTGATGCATCACATGTACAGTGCCCTCTAGTGGAGCAGTGCATTACAGTGCCCTGTAGTGGAATGACGCATCACGGCGCCCTCTGGCGGGGAGCGGCGCGTCACAGCGCCCCCTCCAGGAGCACGTGCGCGTATGCAGCGGCCGAGACGAACTCTTCGCGCTCGCAGGCGTGTTCGCGGAACAGCGACGGGTGTAGTTCCTCGTTCGTCATGGGCTTCCACGCGTAGCCGAGGCTCTGAGACACCGTCTCGCTGAGGTTCGCGATCGGCCGACCTGAGTGTGAGAGACAGACTCAGAACTCAATTTAGAACTAGACTTAGAACAAGACTTAGAACTAGACGTAGAACTCGACTTAGAACTTGACTTAGAACTAGACTAGAGGTTCGCGATCGGCCGACCAGCGTGCGAGAGACAGGGGTCGACTCAGAACTCAATTTAGAACTAGACTTAGAACTCGACTTAGAACTCGACTTAGAACTCGACTTAGAACTAGACTTAGAACTCGACTTAGAACAAGACTTAGAACTCGACTTAGAACAAGACTTAGAACTCGACTTAGAACAAGACTTAGAACTTGACTTAGAACAAGACTTAGAACTCGACTTAAAACAAGACTTAGAAAAAGACTTAGAACTAGACTTAGAACTAGACTTAGAACTAGACTTAAAACTAGACTTAAAACAAGACTTAGAAAAAGACTTAGAACTAGACTTAGAACTCGACTTAGAACTCGACTTAGAACAAGACTTAGAACAAGACTTAGAACTCGACTTAAAACAAGACTTAGAACTAGACTTAAAACTAGACTAGAGGTTCGCGATCGGCCGACCAGCGTGCGAGAGACAGGGGTCGACTCAGAACTCAATTTAGAACTAGACTTAGAACAAGACTTAGAACTCGACTTAGAACTCGACTTAGAACAAGGAACTCGACTTAGAAAAATACTTAGAACTAGACTTAGAACTCGACTTAGAACAAGACTTAGAACTAGACTTAGAACTAGACTTAAAACTAGACTTAGAAATAGACTTGGGCGTCGGGACGTAGCGAAAACGACATCGCAGATTATTAAAGGCAGGTACATTGCAGCAGTGTACGATGGTAAATAGCCAGAGCACCAGCCGCTTGAATTTAGCCATTTGTTTCACTAATTCGGCGACGAGGCCAGTCAAGAAAGTCGTACCGAGCGCCGAATTAGTGAAACAAATGGTTGAATTCAAACGGCTAGACATGAACTCCACTGTTATTACTATGCTCTCATTATGACTGAACCACGCGCCCTATCACCACACTAGATTTTGTATGAGCCCAGGCCCCTCTATACGGCCTTCGTTTCGTGAGTTCAAAATGAAGATAAAAAAAAAAATGGAAGCGCACCTATTTCAATGACGCCATCTTCCTGAGTCGTGGCGATACAGCACTGCGGAATGCAAAAATGTTTCAGCTTCGACTTCAGCAGGCGTGCTATGGCAAATATGTCTTCCTGTGCAAACTCGTACCCTGAAATGCATAAAAGCATGCCATGATTGTTCATCAGTTGCCTAACCGTAGGCAATATGAGAGCAATCACCTTTACCACTGTACATTTGAATTTCAGATTTTAGTGTCTTTGAGGTTTGAAGGCAATAAAAATCGCTATTAAAGTGAGTAGGAGGAATGATTCTTTTTTTATATCGACTAGCCGTAAACTGCCTGCCGCAACTGTTTTGCCACGCGCACTCGATAGATTATGCAATAGGTGTCTGAACGACGGAGACAATCATCTACTCCACACTAACGAGTCCCATCAGAACGCAGCACTGCATATCCCGTCGAAGCACAACACAATACAACATGACACAACACAACACAACACAACACAACACAATGTAGTGCAATGCAACACAATACAATACGACGCAACACAACACGACACAACACAGCGCGACACAGTACGACGCAAAGTAACGCAACGTAACACAACACAAACAAGTCCCGCATTAGCGACAGTGCTGTTCTGAGGTCTGCTGCTCTACTGTACTGGCCTTCGTTTCTGCAAAAGGTTGAAAGCCTGTTCTATCGCTAAACCGGCTACGTCATCATCAAAACTGTGTAGCATAGGTATTAACACTAAAAACTAAACCCTAACAATGCATCCTACTTCATACCTGCTCGACCGTCCGTGCGTCCGTCAACAGTTGGGCACAAATCTGAACCGCTCGACGTACGGTCACGATATTCGGGACGTGGGGGGATTATGAAAAGGACTCGGAATGATCAATTTGGGGGTCAAGGGTCAAAGGTCAAGATGTGTAAACGGAGGGGGAATATTTTCCCCTTATAGGAGGAAATAGGTGTATAGGAGGAAATACGGAATTGTGGCACAAATCTGAACGGCTCGACCTATGCTCTTAATATTCGGTGTATAGTGTGATGGGCAGGAAAGCCATCACCAGTGCGAAATTGTAGGTCACAGGTCAAAGAGCAGTGGGGGAAAGGTCAGATATCATACATTTTCTGAAGACATGGCCTAACGGACAGAGTGAAAAACTTTTTTGTTTCAGCACTGACCTACCATTTTTATCACTTTATTGAAAGGACCATGAAATGTGCTTTCCACTGACGTGCGAAGAGTAAGTGTCTGATAACCTTTTGACCCTCAAGAGGAGGGTTAAACATGGATTTGTTGACTGTTAACAAAGGACTGAACTGCTTTTGCTATTATTAGAGCCCATACCTGTGTGGATGTGAGGCTACATTTGCAGTTCAATTGCAAAGACAAAAGTTTGTTGAACAAGGTTTACACTCCTTAAATCATATTATTTTCTAAAGCAGTCTGTACACTCCCTGAATGCTCGCGTGGCTACCGTCATCCGAAATGTAGGCAAAAACCCGGGGGCATCCCATTACTCATGCATGGTGGTGAACTGGCACTTTTCGAATAAACATGCACACCTGCAATGCAGATGTGTTTCACAGCTGAGCGAAATTGTCGCCTGCCTGAATATACTTGGATTTTTGCCTGTAAATTTCAGCAACTCAATGGAATTAGGTTATCTCTACTTTCTTGACTTATCACCAATGCACGAAGGACGATGCTGTCTTTGATTATTGATTACACTTGCACGCGCCATCTCACGGCAACTATAGGCCTAGTGATACATTATGACACGAATATATAAGTGCGTGTGCGTGTGAGTGTGTCACTGTGTGTGCGAGTGCGTGTGCGTGTTTGTGTGTCACCGTGTGTGCGTGTGCGTGTGCGTGTGTGTGTGCGTGTGCCTGTACGTGTGTCACTGCGTGTGAGTGTGCGTGTGCGTGTGCGTGTGCGTGTGCGTGTGCGTGCATGCGTGCGTGCGTGCGTGTGCGCGCGTGCGTGTTTGTGTGTGCGTGTGCGTGCGTGCGTGTGCGCGCGTGCGTGTGAGTGTGTCACTGTGTGTGCGAGTGCGTGTGCGTGTGCGTGCGCGTGTGCGTGTGCGTGTGCGTGTGCGTGTGCGTGTGAGTGTGCGTGTGAGTGTGTCACTGTGTGTGCGTGTGTGTGCGAGTGCGTGTGCGTGTGCGTGTGCGTGTGAGTGTGTCACTCAGGGCCGTATCCAGGGGGGGGGGGTTATTTGGTTTCTGTAACCCCCCTTGGTTGCTAAAAAAAAAAAGTACTAGTTTAAACCTAGTAACATGTTTGGACGGTTGGACCTACAGTTGTTTACTCGGCTCTTACTCGGTTACATTGGGATCTATACAAATAAATGTATTGTGATACTAAGTGGGTATAACAGGTGTCAACTAGTCAAATTTAATGGGTAAAAGTTAATTTTTAGCTCATCTGACGAAGTCAGATGCACCTTGCAGACTCGCATGATTGTCCGTGCGTCTGTCCGGCCGTCCGTCACGCACACGCACACACACGCACACACAAACACGCATGCGCGCACACGCACGCACGCACACGCACGCACGCACACACACAGACGGACGCACACGCACTCGCATACACAGTGACACACTCACACGCACACACACACGCAGTTATAAAATAGTAGTTACCTGTCACGAAATGATCAGAACAAATAGTGGCGAATTTTGACAGACTCCAGTGCATACCATTTACATTTACTCATTTACATTTAAGTGGCAGTCAGCCACTTATGACTTATCACACCTCTCTGGACTCTTATGTCATTTTGGCAGCTCAAAAAAATATCTTTTCTTATCTGTGCAATATATATGATTGTGACAATTACCTACTACTACACAAGTTTTCGGCATATATGCAAGGAAATTAGTATGCTTTTGGTTTGGAAATGGGGTATTGCGTGTGTAACTTTAAGCTCACGGAGACAGGCTGTTGTTTTCACAGGCACTTGAAGCGTTTCAATAAAATATAATCCTAACTAAATACGAAATCTATTTACTACCAAATTCTTAATGTTTCTATACTCTCTTTCACCTATTATTGCCTACAGTTTCCTGTAAATTCGGTCCAAATCCTACGTCCAACCATATACGCTGCCGGCGCCATTGCTTTCGCGGCGCGACTGTTGCACGCTTACACTAATATATATAGCAGGTAGGAAAGCGCAATCGCAAAATTCGCTCGATGCTCGCTTGATTTCACACTTTCACAGCACGAAAACACATCCAACCGCTTCCATCTTTGTTTGTATGTCAAGAACAGTGTTCACTTGTTATAAAAACATAATGTCTCTGTTTGTAACCGAGCTGTGTCACGTGAAATCACACAAAGACTAACGAAATTCTCGCGTTCGCAAACCTTCCACAGTAATGTAAATGGCTGTCAGAATCAGAAAAAAACCTACCGGCGCTCTTCGTGACCTCATTCTTGCGCCGCAACGCTGCAACGTTTTTGCAACGTTCAAATGGCGAGGCTCGTACGGGAGTTGGAAAGCAGTGCGCCGCCTGCGCGCCGCCTATAGTCCATAGACTGTCACTCGCTCCCACCTCTCGGCTTAGCTTAGTCACTCGATGGGTAATCGAGGTGGGGCGAGTCCCAGTCTATATAGCCCTGTATTCTGACAGCCATTTACATTACCGTGGAAGGTTCGCGAATGCGAGAATTTCGTCAGTCTTTGCGTGATTTCGCGTGACACAGCTCAGTTACGAACAGAGGCATTGTTTTTATAACAAGTGAACACTGTTCTTGACATACAAACAAAGATGGAAGCTGTTGGATGTGGTTTAATTCGTGCTGTGAAAGTGTGAAATCAAGCGAGCGTCGAGCGAATTTTGCGATCGCGCTTTCCTACCTGCTATATATATAAGTGTAAGCGTGCAACAGTTGCGCCGCGAAAGCAATGGCGTCGGCAGCGTATAAGGTTGGAAGTAGGAATTGGACGGAATTTACAGGAAACTGTCGGCAATAATAAGTGAAAGAGAGTAGTATAGAAACATTAAGAATTTGGTAGTAAATAGATTTCGTATTTAGTTAGCATTATATTTTATTGAAACGCTTCAAGTGCCTGTGGTTGTTTTCACCGGCACAGCTGGTTGCTAGGTTAAGAAAGTCCCGGATGTGGCAAAGTTCCCGGCTGTCCGCCCGCACCTATTGGCATTGCCATTGCCATTGCCATTGGCATGCCATATGTGATGATATGATAATTGATATTTGGCATTGCACGTATTAAACGGATTTAACTATAACGATGCCACCGAGTGCAACAATAGTCAAACCACTGACCGTACTCACCAGCTCGGCGCATAATTTGCGAAAGCGACCCTTATACTGCTGTAAATAAAGATATGATAGACAAACTAAATACACTTCTGGAAAGACATCAACAGCTCATCAGTCAACATACGTGTTACGTTGTTATTGGCTGGTGGCGCCACCTTTGGTGTAAAGGCGTAAATTATCCAAAATGGCGGATGAGGAAGAAGATCTTTCCCCTTCTCAGACCGAAAAACTTATCCAGTTCCAGGTATTACTTAAGTATTGTCCTATATTACGACATCATACAAACTAAAATTATTAGATAAGTAATTCTGACTGAAATAATTTTAAATATGTGGCCTATATCAAATTATTTTGATTACCCTGTTGACTATTTCTGTAGACTGTAATTTGTAATGCTGCTGTCTACTCAATGCAAGGGCTCGGCATTTAGAGTGACACCCACTGTCGCTGTCCACGTGTGTAGGAATGTAGGCTTACTAGAAACTACGCGTAACTCAGTCCTATAGATGCATCTGTCTGCTCTGATGTATATAGTATATAGCAGTGCCAGAAGTGCAGTGAATACAGCATTTATAGACTTTTTCAGGCTTTTGCATAACTTACACTACAGCCTGCATCATGTGCATGTTAGGTCCAGTCATAACGACATGCTTAATTTTCTGATTCCCGCGGCCTCTACCAAAGTACATAGTACTAACGGCTGCTATTGCTATTACCTGCCACAGTGACATGGTGGTATCTACCATGCCATGGTCAGCAGTCTGTAGGTATAAATGATTAAATCAAATCATGCTAGTCATATCAGCAACATTCCCAATAAGTCAGGGACCATTTCTAATAATCACTGTCAAGCATTCAGATTGGTACATGTGTTAAGCATAATCTGCCTGAACAACCTTACATAGTTAGTTTTGGATGCCAACAACTTGCCACTGAACAAAACTGAAGCTGCCATTGCACATTGATCTGATTATGAAGTACATGTGGGCTAGTGAAATCATTCGTAGCGCCAGATAATCGCATGGCACTAGATTAATCCTTTAACAAGGAAAAGTGTTTGTACCAAAACTTGCTTTTTCGGAGAAGTTTTGAGTATTTAGTGAGTATGCTTTCTCATACCAGAGGAACTCCTTTAAAGCAAGATTCAGTAGCTAGCCTAGCATCAAAATACTTTATTTTCCAAATTTTCAGCTAGAAGAGTACATAGTTACATTATGTTTATCGTGGCAGATTTGCTTGTCCCACATAAAATAAGTTAATTTTCACCTCTGATTATGTCTATATAAATATTTCTTCAAGAAGGAAATTCTATTTATAACCCCACATTCACCTTCTGTATAAAATATTTATAATTTTATTAGGATTTTACTGGAATCGATGACATCAACAGATGCCGAAGAATACTTCAGCAAAACAACTGGGATATTGAGGTAAAATAAAATGGGTGTCTTGGAAATTGTGTTTGTTCTATGTGATTAGGAACCATTCTGAATGTATTACTTGTCATTGTAGCACATAGTATAATATAGTTTTAGGTAAAACCCATAACAGTATACATAATGTATTGCTTAAAGTCTTCTAGGGAATCCTCAAGTTACAAGATTGGGAAGCATAAATATTTTATTTATGTTTTTTCCTACTGCCAGGTGGCAGTACAGGATACCTTGAATGAAGCAGAAGGTCTCCCTCCAGCATATGCACAACCCCCAAGAGTGCAGAGGGTTCCGGCTATGAACACAAACTCCATTGATCAGAGGTGATTATCCAATCATTGACTACGTACTGAAGTTAAAAATAATTGGCCTGCAGATTACAAGTTGATTACAGTGCAATTACATGTTTTCAGTTAACCGTAACAAGTAAAACGGACTTTATACAGTTTAAACAACAAATGTTCCATCAGTATATTGAGGAGTATATAAGGGTTGTACATTTAAAGTGTTATAGATTATAATCTATTTACATATTTAATGATCTGTTAGTGTATTAAACATGTGTGAATATTTTACTGCAAATTTAGTAAACCACAAAAAGCAAAAAAAAAAAAAATGTGTAATTGTTTTGTTTTTTTCTATATATTTTAGAGTCATCACAGTTGTGAGACGACCGCAGGGCTTGGTTGGGTGGACATACTTTATCTTCATGTTTCCATTCAGACTTTTACATTCAACACTACTAGATATAGTTAGGTTTATATGTAAGTATTCTAAAATGTTTTATCAAATGCTAAATTAACCCTGGCAGAATGACACATAATGTCTAAATAGTAATATCTAGAAATCATTTATGTGACCTCTTCTGTTTTATCTGAAAATACCCATGCATTAGTACAGGTATTATATTGTGAGACTTGCATTTGAATTGAAGTGTAATTGGGGTCGAGTGTCGTGTTATGTGAGTTTCTGATAGCTTTATTTAGGAACAATATTGTAAGTCCAAAATGAAATAATGAATCATAAACTTTATATTTTTAAAGTAAGTTTGGATGAGCTTCTTTTGAGGTTCTTCCTAAACTGTTTGCACTTTTTTATCATTAACCGTTTGTGTTTTTTTTTCAGTTAGATTATTCCGGCCAGATCCTAGACGAGGTAATGTTCCATTCTAATTCTGTATTATAATTCTATAGTTACTTTATTGAATGAAGCACCGATTTCAAGTAGTTATAGTTCGAACATGTGTTCAATGTGAGAAGCCACACTATTTCTGTTACATGTCAGCATCAAGTCAATATAATAAGGCAGATGCCCTCAAATAACAATAGTCGCGTTTTTAGCTTACCTTGACATCGTCAAGCTGAGCTATTGCCATGGGTTGTCGTCCGTCGTACGTCTGTCCGTCTGTCTGTCCGTCAACATTTGGCTTCGGTCAACGATAACTCAGGAAACGGTTTACCCACATGTTTGAAATTAAGTATAGTTGTTACTGCTATGCTCCCATATTAAACGTCCTATTTTGGAGCATGCCAGTCGACGTACTTTCGAGCCACGGCAATTTTTTGACAAAAATGGGAATTCCCATTAGTCAGTTCAGGTTCAACGGATTTTGCTCATTTTTGGTATGTGAATGAATAAGGGCTAGGGGTTTTGATATTTAAACAAAAATTATGCAAATTAGATAGGGTTTGGCAATTATATAGCATATTATATAGACACGCAGATAACAAACAGTCTGTGGTGTCACACTCGTCTGGTTCGTTTTACAAGATTTCATTGACAATATCTTTAATGCAAAATTCCTGCTATGAACATATTATGATTTATACTATTATTATTATATTATTATTATTATGATATACTGATTTATGCTAAGAAACATCAAAGCAGGTATAGCGCCATCTACCGTCACAAATTGTGATTCATTTCGGTTTATAAATTATTTATAATTTATATATATTATTTATTATTTTCACATAAAAAATTACACATATAATTATCAAGAGTATATAATGGGAGTTATACCCATATATACTCTTCGTTTCTATAATGTACGTCGATGGTTGCTCAATTAAAACTGACTTCTTCTCACTCACTCATTTGTGTCCTTTTTTGTGGTGAGCTACAGTGAATTGAGCTATCAGTAGAGAATGCGACTCCATTCCACCTGTCTAGCAGCTAGGTCACTATGTATTAACAGTACTTTTCTCCTGACCTTACTTGGTTACCAATACAGTGATGTAGGAGAAAGGGTACAACATAGTAGGGGAAGTGGTGATAACTGTGTGCAGATCGTTCAATACGTACAAGTATTAGTTACAGAAGATTATTTTTCATTAGAAATGTTACTCACTTATAATTTTAGTGTACCTTTCAGCGTTAACAGATCCTGTGGGAGATGTGATGAACTTTATACAAGTTTTCGAAGAAAAGTATGGTTTGGTTCATCCAACGTTCTATCGTGGAACCTACAGTCAGGTGAGGATATATAAAATATTAAACCCCAATTTAGCATTTTATTTGTAAAAATACTAGTTAATAAAAATAAAGACATTATTGCATAAAGTTATGCATATTATATATGTATATAATATCAGAAGTAGATAATAGGGAAGGAGTGTGACTTCAATAAACAAGGGAAATTCGTCATTTACTAGCCTTAGAATACCTACGATCTACTACGCGTAACTCAACCAACTTGAGCTCAAATCGTACACAGTACATTTGCCTAGCATCGTGCGAAATTGTTTCCCTGTCACACTCCTTCCCTATTATCTACTTCTGATAATATGTATATATATGTATATATATAGTATACACACTATAATGTCAGTAAAATTTTACTTGTGGCCACAATAATGGTACTATGTGTAGTCAAAATGTTATTGCAGGCATTGAATGATGCGAAAAAGGAGTTGAAGTTTCTTCTTGTGTATCTACATGGACCAGACCACCAGGATACAGATGGCTTCTGCCGGTAGCCTACTATTGCTGTCTCCTTCAATAGCTTATATTCTTTAATGTGCATTCTGGATGATAAGTGTCCACACTTACAACAAATCGTCCAGAGTAATAAGTAAAAGAGACTGCTTCATTTTCGTAGAATAAGCCATATATCGGAAAGTACCCGCCGCCATATTGAGATCAGATAAGAAGGGGTATAAGTTGCCCATATATAACATGGTTACGATAGTACTAGTCTAGGTTTTTGATCTATAATTCTCTTCACTAACATCGTTCTTAAATTCACAGGTGCGTTTCTGTTTACAGAAACATTTACGAATATGATTGTGGTCATTTGGGATATTTTGCAATGTTTGTGTTAATGCAAAAACTAAAAACGCATGAGTGTTTACATTAATCATGTACTTTCCTAAGCGTGCCTCAGCCATTTTTACCCCCTTTTTCTCTGACCTAAATAACACAGCTGGACTTTCCGATATCACTTATCTTAGGAACAGATTTTTGGGGGGCTGATTCATTGTAATAGTTTATATTCTTTAATGTGCAGTTTGACTGATAAGTGTCCACACTTACAACAAATTGTCCAGAGTAATAAGTAAAATAGACTGCTTCGTTTCGTAGAATCTTGGGAATAGAATTTGGGGGCTGATTTATTATAATGTTTCAGGGAGACACTGTGCAATACAGAGGTTGTGGAGTTTATGAACACAAGAATGCTATTTTGGGCATGCTCTGTTAGTACTCCAGAAGGATATAGAGGTAATACACTTGTTCCGAAAAGGTCACCTTGTAATAACATCCTTTCATTTACAAAATTCATTATGGCTGTCACACGTGTAGTAATTTCGTGTGTGAAGTAAAGTTGCAGTGGTATAAGTGCCGATTGAATGATTTTCAGTGTCTCAGGCACTTCGGGAGAGCACCTATCCATTCCTAGCACTGATTGTCTTGCGTGACACACGTATGACTGTCGTCGCACGCATAGAGGGACCAGTTGGCAATGGGTTTCTCATGGAGAGACTTTCACAGGTGATAGCCGACAACGAGGGTGCCCTGGTAGTCGCGAGAGCTGATCGGTGAGTCGTACTACTCGTCATTTTGTGGGCATTTTAAAAGCTAAATCGCTACTTGAGGCATGGCAGTGGTTCGTGGAGCATCGTCTGCACTATTTTCTGTGCTCGTTTATAATAGTCGACATTGGCCTTTCCGGTCAGCATGACTGGTTGCAGGTCACTACTTTTAAATGTAAAATACCAATTAATTTAAGTGGCATGCAGTAAATTCCTCATGTAATTAAATGCGCCCACAAATTTCCATTGAAGCTTTGTTTGATGTAGAATTATGTTGCAACAGAGGCATACAAAAGTAATCAGAATCTAGTGGGGAATAATTAGGTGAATGTGAATTGATTGATTGTCATGGTGTGTAATGCAGGCAAACAAGAAACTTGAATCAGTCTATCAGACAGCAGCAGGATGAAGCATATGAAGTGTCCCTGCGCGCAGACCAGGAGAAGGAGAGAAAGCGGAAGGAGGAGCTGGAGCGGCAGCAAAGGGAGGAAGAGGAGGCAAGAATGAAAGTGCAGGAGGAACAGAAACGAAAAGAGGTAAGTGCAATTTTCCTCCAAATTTTGTAGAGGTGTTCCTAGAAATGGCAACAAAAAATTGCACACAATATAACCTCGTCTACGGAAAAACCAACCAAACCTTTCTGCATATTGCTCTTAGAGAGATAGGACAGGGAGGGGGAGAATATTTGATTGTTTAGGCTCCATGCATATATATTCACATATACTATTTAAATTGACTACGTCACAAATTTTCTATGGTAAAATTTGTAAAATTTTTGTTGCCATTTTTTTACATTAAAAGTAAGAACTAAACGGGACTAAACGTATCGACAAATTCTTACCTGATAAGATTGTTTCTCAACTAGTTAAAAATCCAAAAAACCTGGACGATTTGATATTAGTGTTCCTAACATTAATTGCTTGCTATGGGCTATGTATGAGTCACGAGTGTATGTTCACATCAAACAATATAGTAAAATGAGAAGTATAATGCAGCAATTTAACCATAAAAAGTGAACAGAATTACTTATATTTTGTGAAAAAGTGGATTTTTTTTTTTAGTATTTACGGTGACGTAATCACTTTTAGAGTTATAAATATATAAACCATGCTGGAACGTTATACAACTATACTTCAAACTTTCCGGAACTTTACCTTCTCACATTTCACTAACTTTCCATCATAATATAAAATCTTAATGACATGTCTTGGAGTCTTCAAAGTGGCACTGCTAAAATGATATTGGCTGTGCTCCATATCTGCACAGGAAGTAGCACAGCTAAAGATAGAGCTAGCTGATCAGGTTCCCGAAGAGCCAGCCACTGATAGTTCCGATTGCATTAAAACTGTGCTAAAACTGCCCGACGGCACACGATTAGAACGACGTTTCCTGAGAGATCAGTCCATGAAGGTAAGCCTGCATAATACAGCTAATACAGAAATGGATCCATTGTTTTAATCGTGATAACAACTTCGTTTACCATTTGCCACTTGTTTTACCACCAAATTTTTACATGTTTTTGATTACTTGCATTTCAAATATGGGAAATGGTTGCGATTTTTATGAATAGTTGGATATCACACTAAATTTAATATATTCACCTTTTCATTTATTTCTCATTAATATAAAACAAAAAATATGATAAAATTATATTGCATGAAGAAACCCTAAATGTACGGAAAATAATGGTCAAAGCTGGAGTATTATGGCCTTCAATCCATTTCACTTAATTGACAATGGTTTGAGCTATTTCATTTCTGATCCATTGCAGTATCTGTACTACTACGTGTTCTGCCACGACAAAGCGCCAGACGACTTTCAGATAGTGACAAATTTCCCGCGGCGCGAGCTAACCTGTCGGCCATCTCAAGGAGCACCGGACCCCCCGTCATTCACAGACGCGGGCCTCGGAAAGTCTGAAATGCTGTTTGTACACGATAACACAGCATGATCACACGGGCATTCTTTACGTCAGCATCATCTGACCGCAACGTGGTTAGAGGGTTGGAAGGTGACCTTCCTGAAGGTGAAATTCTACCCTGGGCGCGCTACACGGCAGCTTGGCTGCGAATGTTCTGTGATGATGTTGTGGTGGGCTGTGTGCAACGCGCTGGGTGTTGTTGCCAACCGCCAGCAGTTTGGTGGCCATCTTAAGACTGTACGCCGTGTCACTGAGCGGGGGTCACAAACACGAGATCGCGTTTTCCTCGCTATTGGGGATGCTACTGTTCACGAACATAGCAGGCTACGCAGCCTGCGTAGTGTGTGATGCATACACTGGAACAACCTACCGTGAGTCTGCTAGATGTCGCCTTCATCAGCCACAGCTCTTCAGCGTTGGTATACAAGTAGCTGCGGCACATGCTGATACGATCAGGAAGGAAAACTGTGAGAGAATTGCTGCGTGAAGAGGAAACGACGATGCCGAAGTGAACTGCATCGTGCTCCACAATCCTCTGCACGCGTGTTTGAATGCATATGACTTGGCTAGTAATTTGTTAATTATGCAAAACATACCAGCCGTTGACTTGATGCAATTGATAGCTCGACTGTGTGAAATAATAGAAAATATGCTAGAACCCCTATTGTGGGCTTGCACCATTGCATACACTTACTCTGCTATTGTTTGCCCTTCACACTTTTGTTTGTATACACATTGAACAGTATTCTGACATTTCCATCCTGTTACGTCTAGTATTTGCGAAAATTTTAGGCAAGTTACCATCATCAAACAGAAATCTTTAGGTTGCCTGATATATCTAGTCAGTTTTGCTCTCATTTTGTATCAGTAATATCTTTGTGTATAAATATTGCTGTCATAGCAACGTATAACCAAGCAAGGTATTTTAACACAGTCATAATGAATTCATTGTGTAAGCAGTGGACAACCTTATGTAGTATATACAAAAAACATGTATATAAATTCTTTAGTTAGGGAGAAACTATTGAATGAGATGAAATTTACATATGTTTAGATGTAAATCTAGTCTATATTCTTTTCCTCTCTCCATGTGTTGCTGAGGAGAAATTAGGTGATTTGAATACATTAAATTTTATTCATCAATACGATATGTCGAAACTTTAATCCACAAGTTGCACTAAACGTGCATTTTTGTGGGCAAGTTATTATCATAATTATGAATAATAAATGGGCTTTCGTGTATTGAGTTGGACAAGGTGGGATGCTAATAGGATGTATATGTTAGACCTCTAGGAGGTGAATTCCATGAATAATTTTTGTGTGTAATACAACGATATTTGGCTTTATACTGTTACCCATTTTTTTCTGTGATTGTTTTTTGTTGATTTCTACTAGAATGCACTTCATATAGTATATTGCTTTATTCATTCAGGAATTTTCACTGTGTATTTATTCAAGTACTTCTCTCAACAACAGAAAAATATATAACGAACAAGTAAACGTCTATCATTTTAGTTTCTATTTATTTCACATATACATATATTCAAATACTTATTGCAAGAAATAGTCCATAGGAAATAAGCATTACAATAAATAAATTTTAAAACATGATGATGGTTATAGTACATACAGCTGTAGGCCTGTTAAAGGCTAAAGGTTAAAATATGACCGAAGCAGCCTGCCTGTAGAGTGCTAGTTGACAGAATACTGTCGCTGTACAATACAACACTGAGATGACTAGAGTCACAGCACTGGGAAGTACAGACTGGTGCTTGCCCGCTTCTCCCTACATGTACATACATACATATATACATAGATATCCCACTTGTTACGTGAAATACAGCTGCAATTCCTCAGGATACTCTGCCGCGTAGCTGTGATAGGATATACCGAGTTGCATGCGTCCCCATTTATATTCCGAGAGCATACGCGCGCTCATTGACTGTCCACAGCGTTTCCATGTCTCTCTGGGTGGCATATATCACATGAGTGGCGTAACCGACAGAGACGATCATTGTGTTGTGGGAGCCGAGCCGGGGCTTCAGAGAAGCAAATAGTTTTGGCTCTTGCTACATACGACAGGCACCGGTCTCCCTTCCTAGTTTAGCTGTCTCCACAAACTTTAAAAAACTATTTTCGCAATGCTTGCTTTCCTTCTCAATCACATCTATACACAAACCTCACCAAAGAAGTGATATCCTTTGTAGTGGCAAGCTGACGTGCAAACAACACAAATATGATGCATCAGGTAACACAAATGTAGGCCTTGGTGCATGGCTGTAAACAGTCACGGCACCACCTGTCGGCCATAAGCTGAAGAAGAATTACCGTATGACTGCCTGCAGGAAGAGACATGTGGTGTGCTATCGGTATCCACTTGTACTGGCTCCTAATGGTAATGGGCATAAAATGCAAATCACTACAACAACAGTTCACTTGCAATTACAATATAATACAGGAGTTTAGTGGGAGGGAGAGAGTAGTCATGTTGCCAGGTTGGCTGCTGTAGTTGAGTATTACTGGAGCCTAGCAGATGTCTTGCCAGCCTTGTTACCGTCGTGCCTAAAACATGGTTATAGGCCTTGCCACCAGGTGGAAGCACCAGCTGCACACTGCCCGGTGGCACTCTACTGCAAGGATTCTCTCGAACGTATCAATTTAACCCACCTCACCACTTCCCTTACAATATCAAGGGTGAGCAGACCTGATAACAAATAAACAGTGCAGTGTGACTTGATGGCAATCAGTTGACTGACAAGTGAACCATTTTCTAAGCCCCGACTAAACTCCTACGAATCATGATCACTCATAATGTGATCTACTTTTATATGCATCGGCACGATACATAGTCCTATCATTATACATAGCAAAATCATTTAAAAATTCACAAATTCATGAATGCTTTTAAATAATGACGAAAATGAAGATGTACAAGAGTTTAAGAAAATAAACATTTGAAAAACAACATTACTGCATTGCAACTGGGTATCTGTGACAGCAGAATTTTTTTAAAGAGAACGACAGATCTTGGTGAGAACGTAACCAGATGTCATCAGGTAGAGTTTATATAGGAGCACACTTGTCGACACGACAGTGCGCTGATATTGCCAAGACTTAGCAGAATTTAAAACCATAAACATGTTCATTAACAAATTAATATAGGGGAAGGTTGATACAGTTTACAGGTCTATGACCCAATATTTGACAAGCTATGGAAATTTCACATCCTATTCTGATATTACTGCTACAGGAAACAAGTAATCATTCACCCATAGCAAAAACACCTAATTAATATTGCATTACTAACACGTATATGCATGTTTCAGATGTTTTGATCCCATTACAGAAACCAAAGTGTATGTATGTATGTATTTAAACTCACACAGACAAAATTTAACATGTAAAGGGCAAACCAGAGCAATGGAATACGCATCGTAACTGCAACAGTGGAAGAGAGCAAAAAAACAGGGACATTTCCTGTTGCACATGACCGACTGTCCAAGACTAGAATTGCGACTAGTATCTGCAGCCTCCTCTTATATCGCAGGTGCATATCATACTCAGGACAGATGTGACTATGGGCTTACCAGCAATACGATAATGGACAGCCGTTGACCCCCTGGTAGTTCTATTCCTGCACGCAATCGTGGGTGCCCCTCCAAGTAAACCTCTGCCCACAACCTCGGCCGTGCTTTACAACTGTATCTCGCGCACGGCACCCATGTATCTGCTATGCTCGATCACACACGTGACTGTTTATTTGAGTTGCATGCCATGGGAGACACACGCGAGGTTCCGTCAAGTGATTGTAATGGGGATGTCCACTTCGATACAACCAGCAACACTAGAGGCATAGGGCCGAGCCACCTGTACGCACATCTGTCCTGAGAAGCGCCGTCTATCATCAATAATGGTCAGCAATTTGACATAGCAGTAGGCATGGAGAACAGTAACAGCAGCTTCTGTACATCCAGTTGCTTTGCTCTTCAAGGCTAAGCCTACAAGAGTAGAAGTATGTAACACGTCCTACATACGCACACTAAAGGTACCGAAGTACATAACACAGACTAAATTATACTTGTTTTTAGTTATTAGTCAATGAATTAATTTATAAAAGCACCCAAAAACAACTTTAATATAATACACAGTTGTACTCACACCTATTCCAACATGAAAAAGTTTTACAGTATCTTAAATTATAAGCATTTCTACCATATGGTACGTTATATGTATATAGTTATAGTTATAGCGTAACTTGCAGTCGAGGCCGCATTTAACTAACAGATACTTCACATTCTAATATGTTACTGTTACATCAGTGCTTTGCACCCATATGTATTCATCAATTAGGTAATTGTTAAATATATAATATATATACACAGAATTTACTATTATAAGTTTAGATTAAAAGTGATAGCTTCAAACCGACACCACTGAATTGAGATCGTAAATGAAGACGGTCGTCACCAGGCATAAACAACTGATCAACAATCACTAACGTATCTCTCTACACAACCAGGCAACTTTGATATACATGTACACGTATAATCCAGACGTTAAGAGAAATATGGATTGGACAAGCTCGCGACATGGTATCGTAATCAATTTGTAATCAGGGATCAATTACTTATGTCTGGTCATCGTTATCGGCTGCCAGTGGCAAAGCCACGCTCATCCTAGATGTACTTATATATATATATATATGATAATAAGTCACTGCACTACAGTTTCTGCACGGCACCACAGCGTGGCGAACACTGGTAGCGTTACAGTTGTATCTATCCTCTTCTCCATACCTATTTACAACCATTTCTTGTAAATACAATCACTTCTTGATAATAACTTGGAGCCTATTGCGGCGACAAATAGGCCCGACCCCTGTGCACCTGCCAGTCAATCACAGAGAATTTTGCTTGTGACAGACAGCCAAATGCAGACGTCCTTTTTATTAAAGTCACACCTACATACTCGTCACGCGGTTACCACAACCGAACCAAGAAATGACTTGGGTTAGCACAGAGTGATGACCTTACAATAATGCAATAATTTTTAACAAAGTTATTTGTAATCAATTATCGAAATTTAAAATGGTAAGTCCACACGTTGCGCAGAAATTTAATCAACAGTTTCGGTTCATTAACAAACCTACAGGGAGCTTGGCCGAGTCTGCCACGATTACTTGATGCCAGATCTAGTCACCGAATATTTTTCGGGTGGCAAACCTCTCTCTGGAAATCTCTGCAAAACCCTGTTTTTTACCATCACTTCATGAGCTTCGGGAACGGCTTCCCCATGATCTGACTGTGCATGGCCCGACTGTCACGTGACTGTCCACACAAGATCCTCTTACATGGACTCATCATCACCTGTTACAACCGACAGCTCTGACATTTTGTCTGTTACCTCTGACTCCGTGTACCGTCGCTTGATTTTGTTCTTGGGCTTGCGTAGCATAGTAGCCTGCACCGCAAAAATTACAACAAGTATAAATAACAAAAAAGCAAAAAGCTCACACTAGTTCTACATTGTACCTACATTGTTCTTAACAATTATCTATTTAGCTAACGATCTGTCCCACTACCTAAATTACACGCACAAGGCTGAGGAACATTATTATTTTCGTTTCGCAGCTGAGAAATAGTAGTTCCACCAAGTGCTACGTATGCGCGACAAGAATAAACAGTCAATAAACTAAAACAATGTGCAACACCAACAAAAGTATGCAGCCACACATGTACAAGTAGAGCTGCCATGTGCAATGAGGGTGACCCTAGCATGATCAACATAATTTGCGTAGCACATCTCACAAAGTACTTCACAGCTATGCCCGTAATACAAATAAAAGAGCAGCACATTGATTGAACTGTTTGTTCTTCACTGTGTGGCGAGCCAGCTAATGCTTTCTTCTACACATCATGCATAGGGTGTGTGTGTGGGTGTGCGCGCCCGTGCGGATGTGCGTGTTGGCATGTGCGCATGTATTCGTTCATGTGTGCGTGCTGTGCGTGCGTGCGCGTGCGAGCGTGCGTGCATGCGTGGGTGTGTGTGACAAAATGGCTCCATGTGGTGTAACCTCCAGCATATGAAACCGGTAGCGAAATCAAGCACGGCTACTAACTGCATGGCTTTCCGAACAACCTCCTGCAACGACCCCGCAATCTTTGAGAGAGAACAGAATGGGTAATCAGAGCGCTAGCTGGGGTCGTCTGTCATGCGCGCTTCTCATCGGATGGCAGGATTACCGGCTCCGTGTTGCGTCGTTTAATTTTTGTTTTCTTCAGCATAGTTGCCTGCCCAGAAAGAACAGAAAATGCTTTACTACACGAACACCGGCCAACGGCTAGCCGCCGACGAGCAAGCTAGACGCTGCCACCAGTGTCGACATTAAAGCGACGCCGTCTCTCCGATCACGTGCGCACTGCTCTAGCTAGTAAAGCGCCATCTACAGAAAGCCGATGTGCCAGCAGGAGGAGGAGGAGGGCCACACTGCGGGAACCTGCGCCTGCGCTGCGAGCGGGACAGGTAAGCTACGGCGCGGCTACACAACATGCCACCTGCAGCAGGACAACTAGTTACAGCAGGAGCTCCGAGGCGATAAGCAACAGAGGTGCCAACGACGAGGATGTGTGTGTGTGTGTGTTAGCCAGGCCAGCTACGACAGAGCTCTCTCACACCTACCTATACAGACATCATATCAATCAATGCACATTTGTCACGCCAAGTCAGATGACTGCTCACAGCGCAGCACTAAGTGATGTTACGTGTGTAGAGGTGGTGGCAGAGCAAAACTGTTTTGCATCCTAGATATGGATAAATCTAGATGCTAGAGTTAGTATTCCATGCTTCTGGAGATAGGAGTATATGCTCCCCCCAGGAACAAGCGCACGCATCGTTACCTATGCTTGTCTAAATTATTATGAAAAGACTGCAAAGAGGCTGCATTTACGCATGTAAGCAATTCTATGCAGTTTGTATTAGTTTATAAAAGCTTGCATCTATGAAGCAATTTTCAACAGCAGGGACTTCAAAAGCAACAACGCAGCTATTATTTACACATCCAGCCCATCTTTTATCAAAATTCTATCACAGACTGTTCTGGAATGCTTAGTAAGAGAATGCACTACGGAATCGGACACCACAGCTACAGTTTACAGCCTCAGCAGACTTTTCTCTACCGTGTCATCCGATGAGAGACACCTATGTTAAACTCATGGAGCTGCAGCATCACCTATGACAGCGAGTAGTGTAGTGTAGCGCAACACATGTCGTGTCCTGCAAGCTAGCGCTGGTTGATGGGTCTTTTTATTGATGTCCTAATAGCGAGATGACTGATTGCTCGTGGTGCTTCTGACACAGTTCCAATACTGACCATATAGATAGTTAACATCGCAGCCGACAGATGCAAGGTAGCAGAAGGATAATGGCGGCAGAGTCGCCATGCAGTTAGCAGTGCTATCCGGTTTGAACCAACACGCTGAGTTGTCACAGGCATGCTTGCTAGACCAAGATTCGTCGTTAAAACACATGCTTTGCTGAACGCAGGCATACATACATGCACGCACACACACGGGCACACATACGCATATACAGGTGGACCACTATCTGCTGACATGCTTGTAAGCTTCTATACTCTACAGCCTGACAGGCAGCACGGCCTGAGGTGGATAGTGCTCAACTACTACAGGATAACGGAGAAAAGAGGACAGAGCCAGGCAGAACATCATGCACATATTCAGGTAGCAAAAAGCTCCTCTCCAGTCAGTAGACAATTATATTTATATTACAACATGTATGGCATCAACGCATCACAAGCCACAGTGACAACACAAGTAGCTTAAGTAAAATATATGTGAAACTCATTTTGTGCAAGACCCTTTGATATAAACATCTATTCATATAATTACTGCATCACTACCGCTCGTCTCAACACCCCGCAAACTGAACAGAAAAATATCTGGACCTGCATTCAGCATGCAAGACCAGGCAGGGCTATATGTCTCACAAAATACAAAACATAGAAGCACCTTACTGTGCATCAGTGTCTCAAATTACCCATTTCCATCACTCGAGAAATTCTCGGCTGATGTCTATTGTCAGAATAGACGTCACAACACAACTTTATCAGTGTCACGTTCACAGGATGGGGCAGGATAAACCACTTCCCACATCGTGACCGTGTGTTGTCTGCCTGCGCGAGTACTAGTTAGAATGGAGTCACCACCCAGAAAAGATCAATGCATTTAACATAGTCGGCCTGCAGGCACAATGCAGCACTGCTGCTTCTGCCCAGCAAGAAATGTCTTACTGTGAATTGGACTTGAGAATATTGATACTGGATGGGCAGAGCAGTCTGAATGGATCAAAACGTGCTTCAACCATCGCCTTCTTCACACTGACAGGAACACTTACTGAAATTGTTACATTTTGGATTTTGAGATCTGAATGACAAATTCAAAAATCTAATGCACATTTGATAGTACTCAGACCGCTTTTACGAACGAAGCATTTTAGAAATATCGATGAGAACCTGAATAGTGTTGTAGAGTTTGTGTTACGTTCATCATCTACATTTGTCTTCTAGAATTTTAAACACGGATACTCACCGCCATCCTATTCCATCTATCACATGTAACCTCGTGGAATATTCTGACAAGTAATTTTTTGAAACATGATGGTGTGACAATGCATATTCCTCAGACTCAGATAATCAGACTGCCCCCAAAGCACTTTCCCAAATTGTGACACCACCCTTACTAGTACCGCCATGGCCTATCCAACAACCTCGGAGGTAAATCATTTTTCACCACAAATGTTTAGATGTAAATGCACGTGTGTACCTGCGAAACAGTAGCCCTTGCCTGACGAGTCCAGCAACAGACAGACAGTAAAACATGAGCACCTACCTTTAGCGCAGAGCGAAGCACCACGACTTGCCCAGCCGACTGTATCCACGGCTCACCATCCACTTGCACCGGTAAATCATTGTACAGCCAGATTTTTATCTGCAAGAAGAATTTTTGGAGAACATGAAGCATGTTATAATCAGGACATCCTGGTCAAGCTCAGAGAATCCATTCCTTCGCGGAAGGTTTTAATCATAATTGCATATCATACATGGCGTATCATAATATATTTATATCCTATACAGTGATTTAAATACTGAACATTCCTTCTTTTTTCTATATGAAAAAGATGGAAACACAGACAGCAACGACAACAATGCTATTGCACAAGTGTTTTTTCATGTTATAAAGATGAAAACTCAATACGACCGAGTAACAGATGTGTACTTTCATGCCATCACATTTTTCAGTACTTTTTAATCTCTCATAATAGAGTTTGTGTCTCAAATTACATCCTCTAGCACACGTACCTAACCACTTCCAGATGTTAGGCATCAAGAAACCTTGCTGCCGACGGCATATTCAGTATCAACTATACTCTTTTCCATGGATAACTGCGCCCCCCCTCCTGTGTAGGTGCAATGCCACTTACGTGTCCACCTTGTGCAATCCTCACACCGCCACGCAGGCCACTCTGTATCTGACCCATGTGCACGACTCCTGTGACGCCAACCACCTCCAGATTACCATCGTAGTGGTTCGGCTTGCTGAACTGGTCCTCCTTCTGTGGCCCCCACGGGTTAGCTCCTGATGCCCAGCTGTACACGCATGCAGAGAAAACATGAGCTAAACCTTGTGGCTCAGCAGATAAACATGTCATGTACCAGTGCATGGCGGATTTAGCTTAAATGTGCTGCTTCGAACCGACCAGCAACGCACCGCCACTTGACGAAACCTTTACATGCAGTGATATTAACAGATCGCAAACGGACAACTGCGATAACACGATGGTGATGATGATGATGATGATGATGATGATGATGATGATGATGATGATGATGATGATGATGATATGATGGCTAGCAAAGGTACTGTGATGTAGTTGCCAAGCACGCCTTAATGCAGCGTACCTGAGTATGTTGAGAATGATAATTCCTTCCAACTGCGGCAGCTCTACGTGCCGGCCATCCACCTCAAGCCTGATCTGGTTCTGCATGTCCTTGCACGACTTTCGGTTGAACATCTTGCGTAGTGATTTCTTGACGTACACCGTCTTGTTGTGCAACCTGAATGCAGATGGCGACACGTGTAAATTATGTGAACTTCCCCCTCGTTACAGATCGCACTACCGACACAGTCAGCTTCATCAGATACGCACTTTCGAAAAAAACGTAAAATTTTCATGACCAGCGAGTGGTACGCTTTTAGTAGCAAATCCTTGTTTTATACACATGAATGCACGCACGCACATACATTCGCCAAGTACACAAACACGTATGTACTTGCTCACATGCACATGTGTGAATTTATTTATCTATTTACGTGAGTATACCTGCTGTTGAACTTGTCTGGGTTCTCCTCCCTGGCCATATGGAAGTCAAGGCAGAGGTCAGCGTCCAATCCAATCCCAAAGTAGTTATTCATCACAAACATGGACGTCGTGTCCTCCGTGTTCTGTGGATTGCTGTTGCCTAGTGATGTTAGCGATTTGGTGTCATCTGCTGGTTTCTCGTCCGGATGAAACACAACAGTCCACCTGTGTGATAACACATTCATTATTACCTGGCAGTTATTCAGCCCCTGTTACCTGCCCATACCTATCAATAATGTAGCCCGTTACCTACCCATACTTGTCACTAATGAAACCCCTGTTACCTGCTTATACCTGTCACTAATGTAGTACCTGTTACCTGCCTATACCTGTCACTAATGTAGTACCTGCTTACTTATACCTGTCACTTAATGTAGTACCTGTACCTGCCTATACTGCATCACTAATGTATCTTACCTGCCTTACCTGTCAGCTTAGTACTTTACCTGACCTTCATAATTCAGCCCTGTAACCTCGCCTATACCCTGTCACAATCAGGCCCTGTTACCTGCCATATACCTGTCACAATTTCAACCCCTGTTACCTGCCTATACCTGTCACTTCAATACCCCTGTGTTACCTGCCTATTAACCTGTACAAATGTCAGCCCCCTGTTACCTGCTATTACCTGTACAAATTCAGGCTACAACTGTCACTAATTTTCGTATAATGTAGTACCTGTTCGGCGATGTCGGCCCTGCCTATTACTGTCAGACTAATGCTGCCCGTGGTTACCTGCCTATCACCTGTCCATAATGCCGCCCGTGTTACTCTGCGCTATACCTGTCACAAATTCAGCCCCTGTTACCTGCCTATACCTGTCACTGAATGCGTAGTAACCTGTCATAATGTACGTTACCTGTTACTGGCCTATACCTGTCACTAATTCAGCCCGTGTTACCTGCCATATACCGTTCATAATGTCCAGTAGCTGTTACTGGCCTATACCTGTCATCAAATTCAGCCCTGTTACCTGCCTATACCTGCACTAAATGCCGCCGGTTAGTTACCTGCTATTACTGTCACTAAAGTAGCTACTGTTACCTGCCTCATACTGTCCACTAATTCAGCCGCCTGTTACTGCCCATACCTGTCACTAATTCAGCCCCTGTGTTACCTGTCTATTACCTGTCACTAATTGCGCCCTGTGTTACCTTGCCTATACCTGTTCAAAATTCAAGCCCCTGTTACCTGCCTATACCTGTCACGGAATTCAGCCTGTTACTGCATATACCTGGTCACTAATGCTGCCCATGTTACCTTGGCCTATACCTGTGCACAACATTCAGCCCTTGTTACTTGCCTTATACCTGCACTTAATTCAGCCCGGTGTTACCGTGCCTAGTACTGTCACTAATGTAGTATCTGTTTACCTGCCTATACCTGTCACTAATGTAGTAACCTGGTTTACTGCCTATACCTGTCAGCTAATCAGCCCCTTGTTACCTGCCATACCTGTCACTAATTCAGCCCCTTGTTACCTGCCATATACCTGCTCACTAATGCGCCGTGTTACCTGGCCTTATACCTGTCACTAATTCAGCCCTCTTCACTGCCATGACCTGTCACTAATTCAGGCCCCTGTTTACCTGCCTATACCTGTCACTAATCGCCGCCCGTGTTACCTATACCTGATCACTAATTCGGCCGCTGTTACGCTGCCCATACCTGTCACTAATTCAGGCCCACTGTTACCTGTCTATACCTGTCACTAATGCCGCCCGTGTTACCTGCCTATACCTGTCACAAATTCAGCCCCTGTTACCTGCCTATACCTGTCACTAATTCAACCCCTGTTACCTGCCTATACCTGTCACTAATGTAGTCCCTGTTACCTGCCCATACCTGTCACAAATTCAGCCCCTGTTACCTGCCTATACCTGTCACTAATGTAGTACCTGTTACATGCCTATACCTGTCACTAATGTAGTACCTGTTACCTGCCTATACCTGTCACTAATTCAGCCCCTGTTACCTGCCTATACCTGTCACTAATGCCGCCCGTGTTACCTGCCTATACCTGTCACTAATTCAGCCCCTGTTACCTGCCTATACCTGTCACTAATGCAGCCCCTGTTACCTGCCTATACCTGTCACTAATTCAGCCCCTGTTACCTGCCTATACCTGTCACTAATTCAGCCCCTGTTACCTGCCCATACCTGTCTAATCGAATCTCCTCAGCATCGATCACATCCTTCAGCATGTTGAGAGGATCTTCACCTCCGGTGTAGCCAGGCCCCCAGCGCAGCACCCTCGCCAGGTCATTGCCTGTGCCCAGGGGTACAATCGCACACGGCGGTGAAGGGCATTCTGTAGCAAACACAGGCAAGGTTAGCCGCTTGTCTACAATCACCTCAACATTAACAGGTGCAGTGTATGTGCGTTGTGATAGACTGTTCCGACCATTCAGTGCTAAAATTAAAGGATCCGAGGTCTCCGAGTGTAAAAATCTAACAAAGTTGGACATGCACTACACAGTTTGATGTTTTATATAGTATCACTATATACCATCATATTTTAGTATGCACTGCTGGCCACTTGGACATAATAAAAGAACATATATGAGTATTCTAGGTGAAAGGTCAAGGTGAAAAGATTACTAAAATAGATGTTTTCCTGATCGAGCCATATACAAAACACAAGAAAGTGTTAGGTGATACCAAACTTCAAACACCTCAAAATTTGGAGAGAGTAGTAGGTTCAACTAGATCAGTATGTTTAAACTCTTGAGCACCATGATAATTGCAAGACTACAAACCAATCGTCATGTAGCTCATATAATGTGCTGCAGTGCCCGCAGGGGAAATCTACATCCAGGACCAGCAATGACCACTTGGACCCTCCAACATCCTTCATACTACTGGCATCCTACTGCTACTGTTGTGCATACTAATGTTATGTGTCTGTCTATAATGTGTTTCATACTACTGTCTGCGCTTAACACACAGAAAGCACTTCCCCCATACACCCGTCATGAAGGAGTAAGCCTGTCATGGCATCTTTACTCACCAGAGTCTTGGCCGACGTTGTCCAGGCAGGACAGCACCCATCCTACGGTGCCATCTCCTCCACACACCATGATCTTGTACTTCTTTATGTTGCGGAAAACATACAAGCTGAAACACATTGAAACCTACTGTCAGTAAAAGCGGCAAGAGTTGCTACGCACTTCCACTAGTGTACTGTCTGTCCATAGAGATAGATTCTATGGCCTGCATTCCACGCAAGAGCAGAAAAGAAACATGGAAATAATTTACATCCCTTTATCATTGCATTAACACATGGCAAACGGCAGATATCATCTGTGCTTAACTCAAACCTCATTAACATATAGCACTGACATTGACAACATTCAAATGAAACCTTGTAGTTTGGATTAATTTGGGGGATGAGTGCCTGCATTAGCAGTAGAGGCTAGCAAAAACAATTTTTTAACTTCTTTGTCGTGTTTGTAGCAGTCCCTTTTTTCTCCACTATGTACACTCAGCCCATTCAGCATGCCAAAAGTTAGAAAGAAAAGACGTCCACAAGACAATTCCTACACCCCTCGTCAAACGAGTAGCAAGTGATTTAACGCGGCTATACCAGCAGTTACCAATCTAAACTAGCCGTAGTCTATCCGTAACATTTCACTGCTCAACAAATATGAGGGCTGATACTTATACACATCAGTTACAATGCTCACCCGGCTAAAGGGCCGCCATTATCCAAGTCAAACACCTGATGAGGGTTGAGAAGTTTCCTGTAGGAAGTGATTAGGTCCAGGCCCTGACAGCCCCCACTCTTTACATTCACAAACACCAGCAGAGGCAAGACGTGTGTCGGAATCATATGCGCCTGCAAGGAAAACGACATGCGAATAAAAGTGACTGAAACATTTTCAACAAACGTGTGATTGTTTTCGATTACGAGTTGAATCTTTATTAGATGCCATTAGCACATCGCAATTTTGTACAAGAGTTCGTGCTCTACGCTTGTCGTTAAATACTTTATAGCCCCAACATTGTAAATCATCACAAAGGGGAATAACATCACTCTAACCTCACATCACTCTACTCACCTGTATGTTTGGCAGGAGCAGGACCAGCAACTGCTTGTCATCATACATGGCTTCCTGTAACCTTCCAAATGCCTTCACAGCCCTTTCACCATTCACGTATGTGATCACCAGCGATCCAAACTCATAGTATATTGGACCGATGGTGCTATACTTTAAATCTAGTAAAAAGGTGAACACAATTTTTAGAGGTGCCCCTAGGTGAGTTTTCTACAACCAAACAAACATGAAGTGTTGTATCACATTCAATATGGTTGGGCACATTAGCAAATGAAAGTGCACAGAATCAAAAGGTGCATATAGTATCACCATTGTTATTATCCTACAGGAAAATTCACAGGCATTACACAACACAGAATTAGCAGTGAGGAACTAGGGCATCTGACAACGTACCATTGCCTAAGAGTTTGACTAAAATGGTTTCATATTGCCTCTGCGAGAGACTTTCTGGCAGCTTCCCGACGAACAGGGATATAGATGGCCCGTGGGGGTCTTTCACTTGCTGGATGTAAAACCTCGTTACTTGCATTTTGTGAAGAGATTCCTGCAACAGATAGTACCACCACTTTAAACACAGGCTCAAACGTGTGTAATTCCGATAGAATACGTCGCAAACAATTGCTACCATACTATTCAACAAGGGGTTGCACAACAAGATAGTCATTGCTTGAATACTGGTTCCTTTTGCTGTGGCTTCTATATGATAGCAAATGAGACCGAAGCATGATTGAATTTCATCTTACCTTCCTAATTTGTTGCATAATTTGCCATGGGCACTCATCTCTTGTTAACTCTCTTTGTTGTACTGTAAAACAAGTGTGGTTATCAATTACATTCTACTAAATTCATTGTGATTTTCAAGTGATTCAGCATAACTTTCCAAATACGTTAGTAACAGAAGTTCAAAGCATAGCAAAACACTTCTTTAACTAGTTATTACAACCATAACTAACGATACACACATCATATATGATAATTTCATTGATAAACAACAACATATGAATTGTTTGTAATACAAATATACATTCAGCATCAACAAAATTCAGAACCTAAATGATGTCCCGTCGAATTGTATCGCCCTAGAAAAGCGAGCATTATTTAGGGTGCTAACATGCATAAATTTAATAGTGAGTGTCTCACATAAGTCCACCTTCTTTAAAGGAAACACATGCCTTGGTGTCCTTCCAAATTGTTGCAGAACCCTAAAATCTCTGAATAATCCAAAGGCAACGGTTGCCCTACCACAAACTAAATTTGACCCACCCCCGATACTTACTTCCGCGTTCTAACAACACCTCGACAAGTTTATAGTCTCCCGGCTCAGCACTGTCCATTCCAAACTTTTTCAGTGCATAAGAGATGACCTGGTCAGCGGACGTGTTGCTTGTCACAGGAATGTTCTTATATGGCACGGCAACCCTAGAGAGAAACAACGTATAATCAGAACACATCGCACATAAATTCTTAGGTAACCACATTTTATTTCCAGGTAGGCAGAGAGTCACTTTTCTCTCGCAGCGAACCCGTGTTTTCCCATCAGAATTTTTTATAATTTCTGTGGGAGCTTGTTCCTTTTTTTCACTGTGAGTTGTGAATGTTCATTTTCCTTGTATGATAGGGATATTTTCTGGGAACTTATTAATGCTGTTTTGTTACGTTAGGCCGGTAAAACACTAGGGTTTTGCATGGTACATAGCTGGGCTCTATCATCCGCTATTGAAACATCTACCTTTCTATTTTAATGAATCTCCAACAAAGCTAAATGTTCCCCATAATGCAATGTATACACTAAAAGCTACCCCCCCCAAAAAAAAATACCAGAACAATAACGTGCATTGTTACAAAATTTCGAATGTTAGCATTGCTGAGAAGTTTATAAATAGTGCAGACCTTTATCTTTTGCTCTAGCAAGAATACATTTAAAACTAACACAGCTTAAAGATCACGACATTTCTCACATTGTATACTGACAAAAGAAAAAAATACGTTTGGAGGAAGAGGGTTTTTCAACATGGATTTGTGGCTTAAAATCGTTCTTGTAATGTTTATACAGTAAGAACGCATCACGATGCCATTAATATAATTTTGGAAGCTTTGCTAAATTCTCATAATATTTTGATGATGTAGACAGGCTATATTATTTTGCTGTGCACTAAACACACAGCAACAAGGATATTAACGATAAGTCAAAAATTTGGTACAGTATACACTCTGCAACTTTATGGAAAATTGTAATATTGTAGATGCAGCCTGCTGCTACGACAACATACTACATGCATATCAAGAAATATTGCCGACAGCCGCTCAACCTAGGAAAAATCAATTCGCCAACAAGGGGGCTGCAACTCAACGCTGCTCCTGCAGGATGCTGCTGCCACCTGGTGCCAGACACGGCCAGCTGCCCGAAAAAACCAATTGCAGAAAGACCTCGCTGAAAACCTGTGCTGTACTAATGCAGATAGAGCTCTCTCCGCGTCCACGCAGGGACTGAGTAATGATTGAAACTGCGAACACTGCGCTGCTGTACGTGCTGCCTGTGTGACAACGACAGGCTGCTGCTATACGCATACATCCACTGCTACAGTGACACTTATATCGCATGCTGGGATGAGATATACTGGCGGGCAGATATACAGGCGCGCTGACATAATATAACATAGCCATTCGTCAGATGAGGGGCGAGATATGACGGCTTAAGAGACATGAGATCAGATAGGCAATACGTGGCGGGCTGATTCATACGTATCTGAACGTGACACGAGACAGCCTTTTACAGATGCGAGTGTGAGAGATTAGGATACCTATATCATACAGTCGGATGAGATACACAAGTTAGAACATATGACATTAGACAGCCATTCAGAACATGGTAGCATGACATAGACAAGCTAGGAGACATGACTAACAATTTATCACGTGGTGGGACAACATATACACAATCGATGACATTGAGGATTTAACATGATCGGATGAGATATACAGAATTAAAGACACTACGTCAGATAGCAAGATATCCCATGTTGCAATGAGAAACACAAGACACATCACCAGGCTATACAGACAAGGAGATACGATACCAGTTATCAATTTATCACATGGTAGGATAGGATATACCGTCAGACAGAAACTCCCACATTGCGGGGTGAGATATATAGGCTAGAAGACAGTATAGTAGGCAGGATAGTAGCACGAGATATACATACTAGTACACATGACATTAGACCATAGCCATTAATCAGATAATTAGATGGCAAAATAGGATGATGTACAGTGCAACTAAGTACCTCTAGACCTGTATCTACGAGATTCTTCAAGCAAAGATTTATCAACGGTCCCTGCGTGCGTAGCATGGGGGCATTTAACGATTGCATCCCCAAAACCAAGCTGTAGCAGCGGCTAGTGCTTACCGTCATCACAATCACCTTAGTCTAAGGAAACTGTACATCTTGCCTTGTGCTAAATGTTAACTATTACTTGCATAAATGAAACAGTATAAATCACCACCCAAAAGAAGAAATGCGTGCTGTGCGTTGAAGTCAGTTTGAAATTTGTAAATGTTAACCTTTAAGGGGAAGCACAAGACAACTGGGAAGAGGTTCTGTAGCAGATGTCACCAAACGACAAATAGGAAAAAAAGCTACCAATTTCCATGCCAGACAAGGGAATGCTGCGTGTTGCTCTCTGTGATCTCCACCGACACGCCCCCCTTCTCTCTCTCTCTCTCTCTCTCTCTCTCTCTCTCTCTCTCTCTTCTCTCTCCTCTCTCTCTCTCTCTTCTCTCTCCTTCCCTCGCCTCCTCTTCCCCTCCTCCTTCTATCCCTCCTTCTCTCCCTCTCTCCTCTCTCCCTCTCTCCTCTCTCCTCTTCCTTCTCTCCCTCTCTCCTCTCTCCCTCTCTCCCTCCCTCTCTCCCTCTCTCCCTCTTCCCTTCTCCCTCTCTCCCTCCTCCCTCCCTCCCTCCTCGCTCCTCCCTCCTCCCCCTCCCTCCTCCCTCTCTCTCTCTCTCTTCTCTCTTTCTCTCTTTCTCTTCTCTCTCTCTCTCTCTCTCTCATCTCTCTTCGCTCTCTTCTCTGCTTCTCTTCTCTCTTCGCTGTCTCTCTCTTGCTGGTCTCTCTCTCTCTCGGCTGTCTCCCTTCTCTCTCTTCTCTCTCTCTCCTCCTCCTCTCTCTCTCCCCTCCTCTCTCTCTACCTCTTCTCTCTCTCTCTCTCTCTCTCTCTCTCTCTCTCTCCGTCTTTCTTTTTCTAGTACAACTGAACCTCCGTTGTACGTGGTTGACGGCTAGGATACGAGGCAAGTAGCATCCCGAGTTTGCTCCTTTGCACCGGGGAAGTTTCAAAGACGGATTCTCTCATGCTCAATCACGATTTCAACTCGCCCCCACAGCTCACACACACAACAAGCGGACGCCACGAGCGAGAGTGGACGCCGGGTCACCTAAATGTCAGTCATGGTCGGCCTTGCGCTGTTCCCCAGCCCCGTGACAATAATTCATTCTGATGCATATCCAGCCAACTGTGGACAATTCATTAACTAGCCAATTATGGGTATTACGGCTGACGAAAGTGGCCTCCAAGATATGACATCGACTGTGTGTAAATCTCTCCCTCGTTCCATTCCAGAATTCCAAATTCAAGGCGATAGTAGCAACGATTGGTGGCAATGCAGACTGCTTGGGACAAGGAAAACGACAAGCCTTCCACAGGTTTTCGGATGTGGATTTTGTTTAGGTTAACCTTTACTACACTACACTGACTCAAGAGTACCTATTCGTCTCAACTTAGAACGTTTATTCCACAAGAGAATTGTAATTTTCTGCATTCAATTAAAAATTTAGACCATTTCATAAACTCTACACATGTACCCGGAGTTTTAGTTATGCACGTACAAAATACGTTGTAATTACTACCAAACAAGTGCTCAAGTTACAATATTCAAATTCACAAGTTTCATGGTTTTCTTGGTGAGGAAAACGTTTGCTCATGCTGTTCTGTTGCTCAATCTGTGTGAGGGATTGGCATGTGATAATCTGTGGGATGGATAGACAGTGATAATCATCTTTAATTAAAGGAGAGTTTGAATTTATTTTATTTTATTTTATTTGTATTAGTTTACAAGTTATAGATTTGTGGTTCGTAGAATGGAAAATTATTGCTATATAGTGATTTGAACTAACTGTGAACAATGTAAATTATTTGGGAGTCAGTGCAGTGTGATTGTTTCCTGGGTTAGGGTTGTGATACGCGTGTAGAGATAATGTAGGGGCGAGTACGGTAGCAGAAAGTATCTGAGTTGCAGCGTAGTCATTTCTGGTGCTGTTGCTGAGACTGATGTACTCGCCCCCTCTAGCAGCACCTGTCTTTGGCCTTCCTCCCACTAGTTCCTCCCACTTCTAAAGCCTAGCGCAGATCTGCGACTTTTTCATGCAACTCGACAGCAATTCTTGAATCGCTGCAAAAATTGCTGTGAAATCGCTACGTCTGCGGGAACGTGCAACTGCAACCCGTAGCGATTCTGGTCGCTTGTGACGAGTTGCAAGAAATTAAACTGTTTTGATTTTGAGCGACTCGTCATTCCCCAATTGCTCCGAAATTGCTCTAGAATTGCTTCAAAATTGCATGTATGCGCACACGCGGTGACACATCGACCGATCGCTTGTGGTTGCAGGTTGCATCGATGAGCAACCAAAAATCGCAGATCTGCACTGGGCTTAACCATCCTGCATCTAGGTATTCTTACATCTACTCGCCTCTCACCTCTCAACCCTTCTGCCTCAACTTTTCCACCTCTGGGTGCTTCTACCTCGGTGAGCCATCTAGATAGTCAACGTATCTAGCTAGGGCAGTATGTAGAGGAATTTTGAACTTTTTACACATCTGCCCCATGTTGTGAAATATTACACCCAGGCGATTCATTCACAAAATCATTTTTGGCACTACATCAATAGAATTTTCCAAGAGATGTTCTGTAGCTGGGAATACATATCTAAAACCTTACCCTTTCTTAATTTCTCCTGCATTTACTTTTCTGGCCTAGCACCTAATGACTGGGAGTTTTAGGAAGTGATAACTTCCGCGGGGTACGGTTAATAGTGTTGTCAATCGGTTGTAATTTCGTAATCGATCATCGGTTGGACCCAAGTAACCGATGATCGATTACAGTCGGTTACTCGGGGTGTTGAATTCCTGCGTGCGCGTAACGTCGTGTGCATGTATGTGCTTGTTTAGCCCTGTTTACTGTTTGTTTTGCACTATTTACTACTGTGTGTATAATACATGTACTGATTCTCATCACTTTTCCAAGTTTTCTTGTTCAAATTAAAAAAAAAAAAAATATATCGAGGCACTGTTCAACCGATGATCGAGTATAATCGATGATCGTGACATCACTAAGCGCTTGGTTCGAGGCACTGTTCAACCGATGATCGAGTATAATCGATGATCGTGACATCACTAACGATTAAACAAATCGAGCAACCTACCTTAGTGTACCAGGATAGACCTTTATGTAACCTCTGTCTGGGTCCTTTTCATTATATCGCAGAAAAATGGCAGGTCGACGGGCGTCCCGGCGCCGCAAGTTGCGGAGTGGCGTCTGCTCATCTAGCTCACGCTCAGTGCCCTCTGCTGGTAAAGAAAATAAAATAGAAATCAGACATCCAGACATCTTGAGCCATACGCAGATTTGCTCTTGGTGGACAGAGCTGGAGACGTGTGAAAGCATTACTTACAGAGGACGTAGTTAAATAAGACACATTTGCATGCTTAACATTTGTCACAATCCCGTAAATCCAAAGTTTGTGACATAAGCAGAAGACAGACACAGTTCTTCCTCGATGTAAACCAATACTGGAATCACCATACGCCATAGCATATTTATAAACTGACAATAGACAGGCAATAGACAGTCACCTTTGTCGACGACCTCAGTTACATAGTACTTCCTAGGGTCATCTGTGATGTGGAATGTTCTTAGTGCAGCCTCCTGCAATATAATCATATCCATTAATCTGCTACATAGATGAAACACTGCTGTTTTTCATTGTTCGAACGCAAACGTGAATTTGGGAATAACATGAAAAAGGCATCCGAACAAGCGCACAACGGAATCCATGAATGAAGATATGAATAAGATAATAGTTTAACAAATAAAAAAATAAACAAGAGTATGGCAATTCAGTAGTGTCCAGTGTGTCAGGGGTATGATTAATGATAAAATGAAATAACAGACATCTGAATCAATGGCTTTGTGATCAGCCATTAGTGTAGATTATATCTGTATTGTCCTCACTTCTGTGATGAATTTCGCTATTTTCTAGCATTGAGTGCCTTTCAAGTCAACAAGACTCCTCTCACTCTTCGTAAAAAAACTACAACACCTCCTGAAAACTCATCAGTATTTTTAGCTTAAGTCTGGCAAGTGAGCAGTGTGTGACTAAATCAATTTGAATGTTGCTGATTATACAGACATCACAATCCTACACCAAATGGATTATCTCCATTCATCTACAGTGACCAGTAGGCTCATGTTCTGTTGTGTCAGCCATGTTAGCATTGTGATGCTGTAACATGTACTCTTCTCTTCCAATGTCAATAATTTTTCATGAACATTACACAAAATCTCTCTACTTTATCCTGAAAGCAAACTTCTAGTCATGAGAAATACAGCAGCATCTCGTGATGAATATCAGCCAAGTGGCATGTATTTGCAAGCTTGCAATGTGCAGTTAATCTTCAGTATTCTCATACGACTGCCCCTCTGCATCAGGCCAATAGCAAAACAATGTCAGTTACAATGAAAGTGTAGGCCAGGGTGACATACAACTCTGTTCTATTATACACTAATATAGCTCAGCGCAACGCATGGCCAGAGATCAGTCACTAAAAAACTCCTATCTACAAGGTTTTCCTTACTTTACTGCAGGAGCACAGCTTTGACATCATGTAATTATTAATTGCATTGATTACTTATTTATTGTATTAGCAGAATGTCAATGATACATAATTGATGAGCATCAGTGTAACAGGTACCTTGTAAATAAAAATAAACTCCTGAAGAGAAAGTGCAGGTGCATACAATACAGCCTCTTTCATGTCCTAAACATACAGATATTCAATGCTCTGAGATTGTAATCAGATGGCACTGGATGAATACTAGCATTGTGATCTGTTAATTTAGAAAATAATTTGCGCGACATTAAAAAAACATTCAGCTTATGAATGAAACATTAGCGACAGATACGCAGTTTGTACTGCCCAAATAATTCATGATTTATTTTATTTTACTAGAACAGCAAACAGTGCTGCCATCTATGGCTGCTGCAGCTAGCTAATGTGCAAGCAAACAAAACTACTAGTTACTCAGACATTTTCACACTCACATCAATAATATCCACTTCTATATGATTATAACAAGTTAATGACATACCAAGAGCACTACTACCTCACCAAACCATACACTTTGAGGTATCAGTGCATTTCTGCAACTCGTGTTACATGGTAACACCTGCAAGTCACACCAGCTGTGACATGCCAAGGCACATTACTCACCAAAATCTGTTGAGCACTCGCTGATTTCATGACCGTTATTGTCCTAAACTGCCGTCGCTTCAACGATGAATCTCCATCAAACACCTTTATTAATTCTGAAAAATTGCAACAAAGTGACAATGCTTACGCTGCAACGTAATATACTTCCTAATTGTATAAATAAATACATTTCTTGTGCCCTACTGGGCTACTGGCCTAGTGGGCTAGTGAAGAGATTCTCTCAGTTCTCACTGGCGGGTGCCGCCGCATACTAGGCTCTCTTCTTGGCACCGTTTCCACACTCTATCTTTTTTGCTGAGTAGCAGAGAACCAGTGTGTACCATTTTTCAAGTCTTTGGTATGACCCGGCCGAGAGTCGAACCCACGACCTTCCACATGCGAGGCGAGCACTCTACCAATTAAGCCATCGCAGCGGTTTTCCTTCTAATTGTATTAAAATAATATACACTAAATAATACATTAATGATTCTACTTTACAATGGACATTGTAATCAATTCCTGTTGCATTCACCCGGACTAATCTGATGCCGAGACTTCGGCACCTATCCACCACATGCTCGTAGATAAGTATAGAAACCAACCTTCATCTCTATCCTTATCCTTGTCCTTGTCTTTTGTGCTGCCAGTCGAGGATATAGTTGGGTATTCATCATAGTCACGGGTGGCACTCTTCAGGTCACCACTTGATGACCACTCCTCTGACATGCTGCGAGCTGCTGCAACACGCAATCACATACACACCATGTATTGCCTTGCTCACCTACACACATACAGACTAGTGTTGTCAATCGGTTGTAATTTCGTAATCGATCATCGGTTGGACCCAAGTAACCGATGATCGGTTACAATCGGTTACTCGGGGTGTTGAATGCCTGCGTGTGCGTAACGTCGTGTGCATGTACGTGTGTGCATCATCATGTATGTGCTTGTTTAGCCCTGTTTACTGTTTGTTTTGCACTGTTTACTACTGTGTGTATAATACATGTATGTTAATAAAGGATAACTTGTATAGTAGCAATGATATCTCTGATTTTCATCACTTTTCCAAGTTTTTTTGTTCAAGTTTTACATTGATTTCGAATTTTTATTTTTTTATTTTTTTTTCTCCGATGAAATCGATTATGGATTTTGATAACCAAGCCAGAGATGCCAACACATATTTGAAGCAATCTGTAGTTTCTGGCCATCAAATTAGTAGTTCGAGGGTCACGTAATGACCCGAGTTTGCTAGGGGGGTCCGGCATGCCCCCCGGAAATTTTTTTTATTCTGAGATGCAATTTCCTGCCTTCTGAGGGTCAAAAATGTCAATAAATTGACAAAAAATGACAATAACTAACAAAAACAAATTTTTTTTCGATCACAGTGAAATTCGTAGTTTGATACAAACTGGTCGTAGTGGTGCAAAAGAAATAGAAATTCGTATGAAATACGGATAAATCGTAGTGGTTGGCATCTCTGCCAAGCGCTTGGTTCGAGCCACTGTTTAACCGATGATCGAGTATAATCGATGATCGTGACATCACTAATACAAACCATGTATTGCCTTGTTCAACCACACACATACACACCATGTATTGCCTTGTTCACCCACAAACATACACACCATGTATTGCCTTGTTCACCCACAAACATACACACCATGTATTGCCTTGTTCACCTACACACATACACACCATGTATTGTTCACTACACACATTACACCACCATTGTATTGCCTTGTTCACCCACAAACATACACACCATGTATTGCCTTTTTTTCACCCACAACCATTACCACACCAATGTATTGCCTTTGTTCACCTACCAACACATACATACCATTTGTATTGCCTTGGTTCAACCACACACCACACATTACCATGTATTGCTTTGTTTCACCCACAAACATACCACACCATGTATTGCCATTGTTCACCCACACCACATACACACCGATGTACTTTACCCTTGTTCACCCACAAAACATACACACCATGTTATTGCCTTGCTTCAACCACTACACACACAATACCCATGTATTGCTTTGCTTCGACCCACAAACATACACACCATGTATTGCCTTGTTTCACCCACACACAAATACACACCATGTATTGCCTTGTTGTCACCCACAAAACATACACACCATGTATTGCCTCTGTTCACCCACAAACATACACACCATGTATTGCCTTGCTTCACCTACACACATACATACCAACTGTATTGCCCTTTGCTTTCAACCACACACACAGCATACCATTGTATTGCTTTGTTCCACCACAAACATACACCACCATTGTATTGCCTTGCTCACCCACACACCATACCACACCATGTATTGCCCCTTTGTTCACCCACATAACATACCACACCATGTATTGCCTTAGCCCTCACGCCACACACGATTACACACCATGTATTAGCCTTGTCACCACACACATACACACATGTAGTGCACTTCGTTCACCACACACATAACACCATGTATTGCCTTCGTTGCACGCCTACACACATTACACACCATGTATTGCCTGTTCAACCTACACACATTACGCACCATGTATCTTGCCTGTTCACTACACACCATACACACCATGGTATTGCCTTGTTCACCTACACACATAATCACCATTGTATTTGCCTTGTTCACCCACACACATACACACCATGTATTGCCTTGTTCACACCACATTACAGGGACACACCATGTATTTGCCTAGTGTTCACCTACACACATACACACCATGTATTGCCTTTCGTTCACCTACACACATACACACCATGTATTGCCTTGCTTCATACACACATACACACCATGTATTGCCTGTTCACCTAACACACATACACACCATGTATTTCGCCTTGTTTCACCACTACACAGACACTACCATTGTATTACCTTGGCTCACCTACACACATACACACCATGTATTGCCTTGTTCACCCACACACATACACACCATGTATTACCTTGCTCACCCACACACATACACACCGTGTATTGCTTTGTTCACTCACATGCAAACACATTATGTATTGCTGTCCTCATGGCGACCTATAATCACGACTCTATGCTTCCTGCTGTATTACACATTGTGTACTGCCTTTACTACTGCATCTTAACTTACTTACCCCCATTATATTACCATTACTTTGCCATACCTACTGTACCCATAATTTACTATACCTTCTGTACCACCTTGCCACACAACCCCTACTGTATTACACCTACATTACTATACCTTCTGATTTGACATGCTGCACCAGATCTGTTGTAAACTATTTTTTACAACTTTACCCCTACTGCCATAAACGATGCAGTATTACTGCTACCATGACCATATCTATACTCTCCATCGATACAGATATGACCACGCTGCTACTGTATTCACCAAAGTAGCTTCACCCATGCTGTACCACCACTGCTATATTTGGGATACATACCATCGTGGCATACCATCCAATAGACCACGTTCCCTATGGCATCATTGTTTGGTCCCATCTCCACTGTAATACTATACTGTAACTACCAGCTCTTACTATAGCTTGAATACTGCACTACCCTTCGTGTAACTCGACTAATGCACTACTTAGCAAGGCCTAATCACAAATAAATTAGAAATCTCAAAATCAATGTGTCAATTAAAAAAACAAAAAACAAATGTAACTAACGTGGCAGTGATGAAGTGGTATCGTCTGAATGCACAAGTATAGACCAAAAAATTGCAGCTAAATTTTCCGTTTACGGATATCATTACTTCAATCTTCACACTTTCACACGTGCTCTACTTCTACATCAAGCAGGTTAAAACCTCAACCATCTGGATGTAATCATTGTGCACCACACTGCCACTTCCGCATGGATTAGCTTTTATAAATCAGCAAGAGACCATCTTTACAGATCTAAAGGTCTTTTGCAGTACATTTCTATGCTACAATTTATGCGGGGCTAAAGCCGTAATGGATATCTATACTGGAATGACCAACATAATATCAGGAGTAGATAATAGGGATTCCCTATTATCTACTCCTGATATTATAGTACAGCGAATAGGAGATTCACTTACATATATTTCAACATATCTGCCAATTTCTACTAGTGGACAATATTTTCTTGTGTGAAAGTGCAAACTTTTCATTCGTTTTAATTTGCAAGGCTTTGTTATGTCTTTAGTTATGCTTACGTGACAGTGCCTTCTGCTTGCTTATGCTGACACCAAGGATGGTTTCCATAGGTAGATCCGTCCGTGGAATCGTCACGCCACTGGGCGGTAACATGATGTTCTGCAAGCTGCCGAAGTTACACTCTGGAGGGAGAATCTTGTAACACACCGCATGTGCCTGCAATCACATCAACATAACATGGGACCACACGAAGAAGCCATCATTTCCTCCACAACACAGCCGCGCAGCGCTTCCGAAAAGTACCTTGATTGCTTCCAGAGCCCCCAAGCAACACAACTCTGAGACTGGCTGCCTAATAGAAGTATAAAAACTTAGTACACACACGAAATGCAGATAACTGAGTTTAAGGTGCTTCAATCATAGTTATTCATCTTAGTCCACTATTTTTTTCATCCATTTATGCCAAAATTGGTATAAGCTTTGCTACCTGCGTATCATTTAACTTGCACAAGACCAATGGTCAGCTACTCTTCAAATATAAATAGTTAGTTAGTTGTCATCAAGAGCATATAAAACCTATATATTATTTGTACTTAATGGCATATTTTGGTTTAATAAATACATGACAATAATGAAGATATAGATCTAAAAATTTTCAAATAAAGCAAATTGTCCCTTGACCCCTCAGGATTTTATTGGCTCCTTTAAGTAGCAACTTTTTATACAATAACACTAACTGAAATATTAACTCAGAAAGCTTCTTTTCTTTTGAGATACCCCAAATGACAGATAAGAACACTATCAACAGCAGTGCTAATGGCTTTTCTTTACCCCGCACAAAGAAAAACAAAAAGCGAGAACTTGCATAACTCTTGCATAATGCATTTATGCAGATTCCAAGTACTCAAAAGTTCACATGTGGAATGAATGGTATATGAGATGTTTGGGATATTCTGCATTTCAACGCCATGCGTCAGAGCAGAGGGGTTCTGCTGATATGTATACACACTAGCCTAGGCTACATTCACAGGCAAAGCTAACTGCTGTCACAACACACAGCAGCCCATACAATAATAACAACCCTCTCTAAACAATTAAACAGATGAATCTCAGCCAATGAGAGAAAGGAATGGCCATAGTGGAGACAAAACATGAACACGGTTGAAGTGCCAGACAGTGAAGGAACATAACAGCTAGACACAGGCTGTGACAGCAGCAGCGCCAGCAGTGAGGCCAGGCTAGCAATGTTACTCACCGTTACTCCACACCACTCGCAGCGTATACCAGCCAGGCACTCCGCTGACCAGCACGTCTTTTTACATAGTAAACATTTGGAATTGGCCGGCAAGTTGCCTTCTCTCCAGTGATGGAGCTGAACAACTTGGGCCTGCAACGACAATAACGGGCGTCCGAGAGTGTCGGTAAAACGAGAAGCTCTGTGCGCCGCATCCAGATGCTGCTCCCATCGACGTGACCTCGAAGGCTCGCCGCCGCCGCCGCCGCAGCAGCAGCGTGCTCCTCGCTCGTGTCACTGTACAGAGGAGGCTTCTCGCTCCTACCCCTCCCCCCCTCCCCCCCTATATGAGCCCTCAGTCAGTTAGCACTAATGTTCCAAGCCACCCGCTGCAGTAAACGGATCCTTTGAATCGCTTCTTCTGAGAAATCCTACAGAGCACGGTGGGAAAGCATTATTTAACGCCCGCACCGGTGCTCTGAACTTAAAATGTGACAAACTGTGACACGTGAGACAGAGCATACAGTAAAAAAACTAATACCCTTCTTACAACTCCACCAATACTCTCCACTCGCCAATCGAACTAACAGCAAAAGGTCACAATGACAGCAATAAAATACCCATTACAATTTCAGGTTTGATCAAACAAAGGTGCCGGTTAATGCTAACTCGGAGTTCCCCACTGTTGACAAAGCCACAGTTTACTGAGATATTAGCTCCAAATTTTCTCAGAACTGCCTAATTTAAATTTCCGCTTTGTTTACACTTCTAAGCCAGTTTATGCAAATTGTGGTGCGAGAGTGTCAACCTGTGTGTGCACTGCTCAGCATTGGTTGCCCCCCCCCACGTGTGCCACTCCCGCGCAGCCACTTATAGTAGCTTGCACCCCCACGACGTGGAATCCAGCGTCTCGCAGTGACTCTGCAATCAACTAAATTAGGCTTCCGATTTTACTCCTCACAACAAACTTAATCCTGACGGAATGTGGAGGGAGACCCCGGCACTGTCGACACGTGCACGCGTGGCACACCACAATACTGAGAACGGTGGTGCGCAACACACTCCCGCCGAGATACGCCGAGAGCAAACATCAATACGCGCGATACCCTTCGATGCCACCCTAAAACGGTGACGCTGCACTCTGTCAAGCTGAGTCGAATAGCATGTAAATCTTAATGGCGTGCTCAGAACCTCAAGTTAATAGCGAGGAACGTCCCATCATAATGCGCCATTTCCGTGTCTTAAAAACTGCATCGAATTTCTCCAAGGCTATTACCACTGGTAATCTAACGTTCGTGCAACACAAGATCACACCACATACTTATGAATACTTACAATTTCTCTATTTGGAATATAGGTCGCACACTCTTTGCAGTCACTAACGACAAAATCTTGACATTCTAAGTGGGCATAATATTCACATACTGAAAAAGCAAGCAACGTTGCACACTTTATAACATGTGCCACTAAAACTGATTAATAGGAAATCACTCACATAAATATATCATATTGGCTGTTCATATATTCACATAAATATATCATATTGCGTTGACCGACTTTTTATAGTTATTACGAGCATATGTCAAATTATAATTCAGTGAAAGCTCATACGTTTTAAATTAGGAAGTCTGGTGACCTTACTTTGACACGTGATCAATCAGCATTCAACAGAGAAACCTTTTCATTAGAATAACCTTTACAAACCAGAGTAAAATCATTGCAAGTTTTAAATTTTCCGTGACACAACTCAATGATAACAGTGCAGTGGAACAAAGCCATGAGTGCGTGCGTGCGTGCATGCTTTGTGTGTGTAGTATACACGTCTATCTGTGAGACTATGACACACTCCATACATCTACAATGCAGGCAATTTTACACAATCCAATATGCACGTATTTCCAGTTCATAGATTGATTACCAAGAGCAGTGCAGGTAAATGATCAATCAATAAACATCTCTGTGACACTGCTCAACCTGTTTCTTTAAATGGCAATGATGAAATAGCTTGTATTTTTTAAAGCGAGTTCGATAAACACGTGTTCATACACACGTCGCATTTTCACTCCCTGAATCTTGATTATAACTCCTGGTTGAAAATTGGTAAAAGCTCATCGCACCACTTAATAGGTTGAGCCACTTTTAATCACCTAGTAACTGAACGTCACTCAAAACGAATAGGAAAGTGTCTTTATCACACGGCCAACATTAAGGTCAATTGAAATATTATGTACAGAGAAATAAATGGCAATTAACTACGAGTAATGTGTGAGTGGCTACAATATTACTGCTATAAAAGACTGACTTTTAACCACAGATATTCGGGCCAATACAGACACGTTGGCTTCCATAAGCAACTAGGTACACACACATGCACGCGCGCGTGCACACACACACGCACGTACACGCACACACAACATGGCTTCCAATCCCTGCTTATATATAAAACCTATATAATTTTAACCCAAAAAGATTTAACGATTTTATGAATCGATCCACATTTACACATTATAGACTAATAAAAACCATGACTTTAACCATTACTACGGTAACAATTACTTACTTTCACATCTTATTGCCCAACTATCTTCTAGCCGTTTCCGACAGACATTACAAAATTTCCGTTTGAAGTGGCCAGGCTCTGACCAACAGTGTGGAACCGGGTTCTGCAACAGATATAATACAACATAATAAGATCCAACGGTCATACAAATATTTTTTTCAACCATATATGTAAAAGAACGAGAAAAACAGGGTGTAAGAGTGGGACACCTTTTGAAAACAAATAGGTAGGAAACAGTGTGGTCACAACCCTCTATTCAGCTACACACTACGGTAATCACAATCCTCTTAGTCTACTTAAGCTATACACCAGAGTAGGCACAACCCCTCTTCTCAGCCCTACATCTGGGTACTAGTTACAATCCCCAGCTATACTCGGCCGTACGTCATGGCAGCTACAGCCCCTAGTTCATCTCAGCTGTGCGTTGAGCCAGACCCTGAATAGCACAGAACGATTTGCATGAGCTTAATTTTCGCTGCTTGCCCACGCGCAGCCATCAGGCATCACCACGGCTGCTGCTGCTGCCTGCAACAATCACTCTGCTAGTCGGTCAATTTTATGGCATTTGCTATACGTACAAACGGCATATGAAACTTTCAATGACATATATTTTTTATGGCAGTCATCGATCGGCTGGATGTAGCTGGGTACAGCATCTCGTCCCTGGTGTCTACGGCAGTAGCCGCCTGGTTGCGTGGAAAAGCAGGCTCGTTCTCACGCGGTGCGTAGAATCATATATATATATAGAACTCTGCATTTAATTGCATCTAAAATATTTCCTAACTATTTTACGTGTCACCTGTCAAACAGGAAATACTGGCCATCAGAGGAAGACCCACTGAGACTTCATAACACAGCGATGCACAAGCCAAAATAGATTATGTTGTTATACTATCAGGAGTCTATCAATAGACTCCTGGTACTATCAGGAATGACTAATAATAGATCTAATAATAATCTATTATTATTCACTCCTGATACTATTCTGTAAATTTAATAACAGTGCCACATACCAAAAAGAGCAATGTATGCGTATACGGGTACACATACACACACACAAACCATTTAAAAATAGTCGCATTAATAATAATAGGGTCGCGTCTTTTACGAAACTGCATGTACATCAAGACAGCTATAAACCATACCTCTACAGAACTGTTATAACATCCAGTTAGTTTCAAGAAAGAGTCAGCTAACCAGTGTGTATTACAGAACTGCTTACCATTTTACTCAAACGAGAAACTAAATATTTGCAAACAAAACATTATTTGTAATAATAATACAATGAATTTGCAAAATTCACTGGCTATTTACATGACCACACGACAGCAGTAATTCCGAAATAGTAGGTCTCAGGGGAGAGATAGTGAATATAGAAATAAGTTGTGGATATAGAAATCAGTTAACCCTAACCCTAACCCCAACCCTAACCATAATTCTAACCCTAACCCTATCCCTAATTCTAAAATAAAACAAAATTAGCCAAAAATAATAATAAATAAAATAAATAAGAGACAAAATTAGCCAATCAGAGCCGTCCCCTAGCGGATCACTATCTCTCCCCTGTGCAAAATTCTTTCCGAAATAGATAAAAATAATAATAATTTCACCATCATTTCGCATAATTTTGCTTTTGAGTAAAATCTGTCAAGTTGGAAAATGTTTTGCTTAAAAGATGTCCATGCCAGGGGTGAACGCACGAAACGCAAATGATAACATTTCATTTCAGGCTGCTCGATTCTTTTCGATTTGGAATCGCGTTGATTTTTCTTGAATTGAATCTAGTTTGATTTGGAATCTTTTCAAACGCGGCTACTACTAAAATGCTCTCGGTACGTCTCGTGCTTATATATCGCGTTAGCCGATGATGTGCTAGGGAGTGGTTCGTCACCGCCGGTGCCGACTTGCCAATTTCGAGGTGTTAAGGAAGACATGGCACGTTCACAATGAGCTATCGCACTCTGCACTGGGATGCAGCGTGACGTCCGCACACAGTACAGCACGCGCTTCCTATATTTGCTTAATGAGAGCCGCAGCTCCCTAGTTTACTACGGCTATTGGCAGTAGTGATGCTGCTGCTACTGCTGCTGCTGCTGCTGCTGCTGCTGCTACTACTGCTGCTCTTGCTGCTGCTGCTGCTACTGCTGCTCTTGCTGCTGCTGCTGCTACTGATGCTAACTGCTGTGCCTACTTGCTACTCTGCTGCTGCTGCTGGTGGTGGTGGTGGTAGCTGGTGGTGGTGTAGTCGGTGGGGTGGTGGTAGTGGGTGTGTGTGTGGTGTGGTGGTGGTGGTGGTGTGGGTGTGGCTGTGTGGTGGTGTGGTGGTGCATGTTATGCTCATTATCACCCAACCGGCTTTTTTTATATTCAGTTCTGTCCCTCTTCATTTCTTCGTCCTCCTTATTTTCGTTTTTGATCTCTCTTGCCCTCTCCCTCCCCCTTTACACACATATATATATAATATATATTATATCTGTCCGTCTCTCATGTGCCATCTCTCTAACTACCATTCCCACTTCCACTTTCACTCCCACACGCATGCACCCACAGATCCCCCTTCTCTCTCCAAGCTCAAGGTTAAGGGACAGTAATGTGTAACTCAATAGTGAGTAGCCTTCGTACGTAAGTCGTACTTATCAAATATTTAAGATTTTACTAATTGTTCTACTAATTAGTGAGTAGCAAAATGTGTTAGCATGTTGTAGCAATACATATATATATGTTAAGTTGCGAGTGTGTGCCGTCAATCGGACCGGACTGGCTTGTGTTGCATAATTGGTGTCAGTGAGCTAATAGGATTTAGGCTAATTAATAACAGTCTGGAATAAGTCTGAAACCCATCCAATCCCGATTTCTACAATTGACTTGCACCATGTAACATATAGTAAAATACATTGAAATGGGACCGTCGTGCTCAAAAGTTACCAGTCACGGAGACTGCATGCGCCGGTGGACTGCTATCTCCGCCACTGTTAATACTTATGCCAGTTACATTCTTCCAGCTAGTCTTTTACTCTGAACCATAAAAATGCAATGTTGGCCTAACGCCTCCTGTATCTTCACAAAACCTGCTGTAATAAGTGTATTGCCACTGCAATCGTTATGGCACTCACACTACCCATGTAACTGCAGCATGTATGGCAGCTACCCGACCCTGCTACTGCAGCCTGTATGGCACCCGCCCACACAACCCTGCTACTGCAGCCTGTATGGCACCCATCCACACAACCCTGTACTCGCAGCCTGTATGGCACCCACCCACACAACCCTGGTACTGCCAGCCTGTATGCGCAGCCCATCACACACCTGCTACTGCAGCCTGTAATGGCACCCACCCACACAACCGGCTACTGCGAGCCTGTATGGCACCCACCCACACAACCCTGCTACTGCAGCCTGTATGGCACCCATCCACACAACCCTGGTACTGCAGCCTGTATGGCACCCACCCACACAACCCTGGCTACTGCAGCCTGTATGGCACCCATCCACACAACCCTGGTACTGCAGCCTGTATGGCACCCACACACAACCCTGCTACTGCCAGCCTGTATGGCACCCACCCACACAACTCGGTACTGCCAGCCTGTATGGCACCATCACACAAACCCTGCTACTGGCAGCCTGTATGGCACCCACCACACAACCCTGCTACTGCAGCCTGTATGGCACCCAGCCCACACAACCCTGCTACTTGCAGCCTGCCGTATGGCACCCCCACACAACCCTGCTACTCAGCCTGTATGGCATCCCACACACCAACCCTGTAACTGGCAGCCTGTATGGCACCCACCACACAACCTGCTACTGCAGCCTGTATGGCATCCACCCACACAACCCTGCTACTGCAGCCTGTATGGCACCCACCCACACAACCCTGCTACTGCAGCCTGTAGCACCCACCCACACAACCCTGCTACTGGCAGCCTGTATGGCACCCACACAACCCTGCTACTGCAGCCTGTATGACACCCACCCACACAACCCTGCTACTGCAGCCTGTATGACACCCACCCACACAACCCTGCTACTGCATCCTGTAGTGTATGGCAACCACCCACCCAACCCTGCTACACCAGCCTGTATGGCACCCACACAACCCTGCTACTGCAGCCTGTATGGCACCCACCCACACAACCCTGCTACTGCAGCCTGTATGACACCCACCACACAACCCTGCTACTGCATCCTGTATGGCACCATCCAACCCTCGCACTGCAGCCTGTAGGCACCCACACACACAACCCTGCTACTGCATCCTGTATGGCACCACCCACACAACCCTGCTTACTGCAGTGTATGGCACCCACACACACAACCCTGCTACTTGCCCAGCCCTGTATGGCACCTACCCACCCAACCCTGCCTACAGCAGCCTGTATGCGCACCCCCCAAACCCTGGCTACTGCATCCTGTATGGCACCCACCACACAACCCTGCCTACTGCCAGCCTGTATGGCACCCACACCAACCCTGCACGCAGCCTGTACTGCACCCACACACATAACCCTGCTACTGCCATCCTGTATGGCACCTACCCACCAACCCTGCTACAGCAGCCTGGTATGGCACCCACCCACCCAACCCTGCTACTGCAGCCTGTATGGCACCCACCACACAACCCTGCTACGCATCCTGAGGTTATGGCAACCACACACACAACCCTGCCTACTGCAGCCTGTATGGCACCCACTCACACAACCTGCTACTGCAGCCTGTATGGCACCCACCCACACAACCCTGCTACTGCAGCCTGTATGGCACCCACCCACACAACCCTGCTACTGCAGCCTGTATGGCACCCATCCAACCCTGCTACTGCAGCCTGTATGGCACCATCCAAACCCTGCTACTGCATCCTGTATGGCCACCCACCCACCCAACCCTCGCTACATCAGCCTGTATGGCACCCACACAACCCTGCTACTGCAGCCCTGTATGGCACCCATCAACCCTGTACTGGCATCCTGTATGGCACCACCCACCCAACCCTGCTACTGCCAGCCTGTATGGCACCCACACACCCTAGCTACTGCAGCCTGTATGGCACCACACCACCAACCCTGCCTACTGCAGCCTGTGATGGCACCCACCCACCCAAAC